AGTCGCAGTCGCATTCGCATTCGTAGTCGTAGTAGTAGTAGTAGTAGTAGTAGTAGTAGTAGTAGTAGTAGTAGTAGAGGTAGTAGTAGTGTTAGTAGTAGTAGTACTAGTCGTAGTAGTAGTAGTAGCAGTAGTAGTAGTAGTAGTAGTAATAGTTAAATTAGTAGTAGTAGTAGAAGTTAACAATAGTAGTAGGTCCTACTACTACTATCCGTGATCGTACTAGTAGTAATAGTAGTAGTAGTAGTAGTAGCAGTAGTAGTAGTAGTAGTAGTAGTAGTAGTAGTAGTAGTAGCGGCAGTAGTAATGGTAAACTAGTAGTAGTCGTAGTCGCAGTTGTAGCAGTAATGGTAGCGTAGAAGGGTAGTCTTACTCTTAATAGATGTTGGTGTCGTAGTTCTGCTGTTCTAATAACGATATTTCCATAATCATATTCATGGCAACGCAACAAACTGAGTCCAATCCCGGCTTCGTCAAAACCATTTATCCACCGAATCCTGAGTGATTCACCACCGGAACCCATGGTTGCCTTAGTTAAAACAGAACCATTAGATGAACAATTCGATCGGGCGGGCCGGGACTTCGTCAAGTCAAGGGGGCTGCCGGCGTGATTTGGTCGAGTTGGCCGGGATTTGGTCGACTTGACCAGGATTGGCCCTGGACGGGGTGCTCCGCGAGGCGTTGGAGCCTTCAAGATGGCATCGGCTAGAAGGCACAAATCATTGATTGTGCTAAGGTTTCAGGCCCATACGGCCTCATGGGGGGGGCCTAATGGACTGCCCGCCCTTCTTTGATCGATCTCTTCCAAGATCGTCCCAAGATGGCCTCCGAGGCTCCCAAGAGTGCCACGAGACACCCCCAAGGGGCGCCCAGGAGGCCCCAAGAGACCCCCAAGAGGTTCCCAGGAGGCTCAAAAGAGACCCCCAAGAGGCCTTCAGAGACTCCCGCGAGGCACCCAAGACGCTCCAAATGCCCCCCAGTACCGCCAAGAGGCCCCCGAGACGCGCCAAGAGGACTGCAAGAAACTCTCCGGAGACATCCGCCGAAGAGACTCCGGGAGGCATCCAAGAGGCCTGTGGCTGTTCTGCTGGCCACTCTCCTCCTCCTCCTCCTCCTCCTCCTCCTCCTCCTCCTCCTCCTCCGCCTTTCCCTCCTCCTGCCTCCTCCCGTTTCCCTCTCTCTCCCCCCGCCCGCTCCTTCCCCTCCCCCTCCTCCTCCGAGGACGACGGCAATTCCTCCTCCATCGCCCCCCGCTTGGGGTACGACGGCTTCCCCAGCCCAGTGCTGCACTGTGTGCTCCTTCACATCCCTGGTCAGGGTAACTCGCCTGGGCATCGATTCTGGATGGGCTGGTGGGGTTACGCGAAGCGTCTAGATGTGGTGCCAAGTTGCACGAAAGCATATCTCGCCACATACTGATTGCATGCCCTAAACCTCACACGTTTCGAGAAAGAGGCTGGTAACGAAATGCTCGTGAACCTGCGAAACTTATATGCACTTTCGTAGACTTGGCGACACAATTGAGGGCAAATTAATGATCGATCTCCTGAACGAGCGTTTAGAGATGGGTGGCCATGTTGGCGTTTCTATATTCTTAAATTCGGCTTTTGGCCGCAGGGTGGGAAAAAAGAGGGGGGGGTCTGGGTCCGGACCGGTGCTTAGCCGACCTGCTTCTACCAGTCGCGCCAGCGGACTGGGGGGGGGGTCCTGGCCAGCCGCCAGGACGCAGTCCCCAGAAGCAGCCAAGATCTGATCTGGTCCAGGGGGGAGGGGGGCCCGCGCCGATCGGCGGAACAATACATACAATAATGGCGACCGCCAGAAGACAGCCTGCTGATCTCCGCCCCGCAGGCGGAGAAAGGCCCACGCGGGCAGACGGACCGCCCTGGGCAGCACGAGCTGCCAGAAGCCTCCCACGTTGGGGTCCGAGGAGGCCAGCGACGATCAAGACCGGGTCTTACGCGAGATGGCACGGCGACCTCAAGTCGCAGCTTACACGGGCCGCCAGCGCGGCACGCTATGCTGGAAGCGAGGGCGCTCACGCACGGCCTTACGCGGGCCGCTTAATACGCGCCAATGTCGGCGCAAACGGCCCCATTTTGTTGCGTCGCTCAGGTGGGGCCAGAGGATCGCGCCGCATCGCCGATACATCGGCGTGGTCGAGCCGCATCGCCGATGCATTGGCGATGTGGCGCGATCTTCTGGCCCCATCTCCTCCGCCCCCATCTTGGAGGCCGAGGACCGCTCGGCGAGGAGGAGGAGGCGGAGGAGGAGGCCAGACACTTGACGTGTACGCGGCCGCATGCAACCACATATCGAGGTGGGATGGGTGGATGGGGGTTGATACTTACTGAGGGCGGTGGTGGAGTAGCATTTGACAGCCAATACCGATTCGTACAGGCCAGCCGTACCCATCTTGCGCGCACACGTGCAAATCTGGCCACTTTACCTGCAAACATAAAAACGGATTTTATTTCTCGCAAAGAACCTTGCGCAAACAGGACTCTGCACTCACTTACTTGCCGGTCTTTCTTTGGCAGCACGAGCCACCATATTTACGGGGAGTTGTCATTTGGTTAGACTTGGATTGGGAGGTACGTCACGCCAAAGTACGTGCTGCCGTGCCTGGCGGACACCTACTCGTTTCTCCTATCCTTTCCGCCGCCTCATTTTCCAGCTTTTTCCGCGGCGCCCGCCAGGTACCTTGTGCGCCGAGTTGGTCTTGCATGCTTTCAAGAACGCTACAGCTGCTCAGCTCAAGTCCGATCAAGGTAACAAAAAAACGAGGAGGAGGAGGAGGAGGAGGAGGAGGAGGAGGAGGAGGAGGAGGAGGAGGAGGGAGGGAGCATGCGGATGAGTGTGCTTGCTGCTCAAGAGGGCGCATGCCGAGAGACTCAGGCCTCCCCGAGGCGATCAGGACGGACCCTCTTCCTTCCCGCGGCCGTCTTCCACCCCGGCCGCCGCCACGGAATGGATGCGCCCTGGGATCCTGGCTGGAATGCGGACTCCAGGATGTTCAGAGGAGGGGGATTCGACGAACTCCACTGCCGACAGCTCGTAGCTCCCAGAGAGGAGGGGTGGGGGCAGGAGGAGGACGACGAGGAGGACGAGGAGGGCGGGAGGGACCACTCCTCAAAGATGTCCCTGAACTGCTTCACCTCGCTCCAGGAGAAGCGAAGCTCTCTGGCCGTTCGCTCGGTCCGCTCCTGGGGGGGGCCACGAGGGGTGCGGCGGCGGTGATGCGCGCCAGGGATCCGGCTGAGCTCTCTCCCTCCCTCCCTGCTGGTCCCCGTTTCCAGGGGCGGAGGGATGACGGACAGACGGACGCCACTTCAGCGACGCTCGCGCCCGTCGAAGGCGATGGGCGCGCAACGCGCAAGGCGCTCAGTACGGCAAGTGCGCGACACCATCTTCCAGAGTATGCCAGTCTTCTTTCCAGGGGCGGAGGGAGGAGGAGGGAGGAGGGAGGAGGAGGGAGGAGGAGGGAGGAGGAGGAGGAGGAGGAGGAGGAGGAGGAGGAGAATGAATGACGAATACGAGGTGGGAGGGAGACGACGAGGCCCTTCTCCCTCCCGCTTCCTGGCCCGCCTCCTCGTCCTCGTCCTCCTCCTGCCCCCCTGCCCCTCCTCTCTCTCTCTCCTCGTCCTCGTCCTCCGCCTCCTGCGCTCCGCTGCCTCCATGCAGCACCTTCTCGCCCTCGCCCTCGTCCTCCTCCAGCTCATCCACATCCTCCTCGTTCTCCCCTATCCCCACCTCCTAGTCATCGTCCGTGGCGGCGCACTGCCCCATCTGGAAAGCCTGGACCCCCGGCGTCCTCCACCTCACGCTCGCGCCGGTCCAGCAACAGCCGCATCAGCTGCACGAAGTCCCAGTACCCCAGTCGGAGCTCGTTCGCGCCGCCGATGCTCGGCATCCCTGCCTGCCCGGGCCGGGGCCCTCGGTGGAACCTCCCTGGGAGGTCCCGGCCGGCTCTTGGCGGCGGTCTTCGGCGGCTTCGGGCAGCTTCCAGGGCTGTTCGGAGGGTCTCTGGGAGTCCTCGGCCGCTTCCGGTGATCTCTGGTGGCCTTTGCAGGTCCTGCGACGGCTCTCGGAGGTTGGCGAGCGTCATCGGGCGGCTTTCGGCGGCCTTGGGGCTGTTTTCAACAATTGACAGCCGTTATACTTGGTCTTCTGTTTGTTTCGGAGATGCCTAGAAAAAGCTTTGATAAGATTTGGATTTAGGGACCTTTCGTTGGCTATCGTGTGTTGGGTTCCTTCAAACATGTTTGCCAATTTTCCAAATGTATCCTGAACATGTTTGGAAGTCTCTGGAAGATGTGAGCTAGGGAGGATCCTCTTCTGTCTCCTTTCTGACCTCGGGACCATCCCTCGTCACGCGGCTCGAAGTACGGAACTCTTGGGAGGTTGTTCAGAGGCCTGTCGCTTGTGATGGTTCGGATGGGTTGCAATCGTTGCGACTGTTGCGGAGGCTTCCAAAACAAGAAGGTGAGAGGGAAGGAAGCGGAGAGGGGGCGTCTGGAAGGCGTCGTCAGTGGGTAGACGTGTCAGGGGAGATTAGAGGGGGGCGTCTGCAAGGTTCTCAACAACTGACCTGATCAATCTCTCAGGGAACTTCACTCCACCCTCCCTCTGGACAAGAACCAGTTTGGGCCATCCGTGCTCGCCGCACCCAGGGCTCGATTCTGGTGGCGTTTTGGCGGCCCCTCCCTTCTTGTTCCCAACCATCCTGTGGTGTTGGGTCATCGTTTGGAGAAGACAGCGCCCCGCTTCTCCTCCTTCCATCCTCCTCCTCCCCCTCCTCCACCACCTCCTCCTCCTCCTCCTTCTCCTCTTCTTCCTCCTCCTCCCCCCCCCTCCTCCCCCATCCCTGCCTCTGCCCTGCGCATGTCTATTTCGGACCGCGGTTCACGCGTGTCGTGGCCCCATAAGGGGGGCCCCACCGAAGGCCCCAGCGCCACAGTCCGTATGGCGTACCCGCTTCCGATTTGGCACAACTCTCACACGCTTCGTGGCCCCATGAAGGGGGCTCCCCCGATTGACCCAGTGACACAGTCCGCGTGCCGTACGCGCATCCGATTTGGCACGCCCCTCACACGCTTCGGGGCCCCATAGGGAGCTCCACCAAAGGCCCAAGCGGCAGAGTCCGCATGGCGTACCCGCATCCGATTTGGCGCACCCCTCACACGTTTCGTGGCCCCAAGGGGCGCTCCACCAAAGCCCCCAATGGCGCAATCCGCACGGCGTACCCGCATCCGATTTGGCAAGCCCCTCACACGCCTTGCGGCCCCATCGGGAGCTCCACCGAAGTCCGCAACGGCACAATCCGCACGGCGTACCTGCATCCGATTCGGCACATCCCTCACACGTTCCGGGGCCCCATAGGGAACTCAACCGAGGACCCAAATGGCACAATTCTTATGGCGCACCCGCATCCGGTTTGGTACACACCTCACACGTTTCGTGGCCCCATAGGGCGATCAACAGGAAGACCCAATGGCACAGTCCGCATGGCGTACCCGCATCCGATGTGGCACACCGCTCACACGTCTCGTGGCCCCATGGGGCGCTCCACCAAAGCCCCCAATGGCACAATCCGCACGGCGTACCCGCATCCGATTTGGCAAGCCCCTCACAAGCCTTGCGGCCCCATCGGGAGCTCCACCGAAGTCCGCATGGCGTACCTGCATCCGATTCGGCATATCCCTCACACGTTCCGTGGCCCCATAGGGAACTCAACCGAGGACCCAAATGGCACAGTTCTTATGGCGCACCCGCATCCGATTTGGTACACACCTCACACGTTTCGTGGCCCCATGGGGCGATCCACAAGAAGCCCCAGTGGCACAGTCCGCATGGCGTACCCGCACCCGATTTGGCACATCCTCACACGTTTCGTGGTCCCATAGGGCGCTCCCCCCGAATGCCCCAGTGGCACGGTCCGCGTGCCGTACTCGCATCCGATTTGGCACGCCCCTCACACGTTTCGTGACCCCATAGGGAACTCCACCGAAGGAACCGGCGGCACAGTCCGCATGGCGCATCTGCATCCGATTTGGCACGTCACTCACACGCTTCGTGGCCCCATAAGGAGTTTCACCGAAAGCCTCAGCGGCACAGTCCGCATGGCGTACCCGCACCCGATTCGGCACACCCCTCACACGCTTCGTGACCCCATAAGAGATCCACCCAATGCCCCAACGGCACAATCCGCATGGCGCAGCTGCACCCGATTCGGTACACCCCTCAAACGTTTCGTTGCTTCGTAATGAGCTCCGCCGAAAGCCCCAGCGTCACAATCCGCATGGCGCATCCCCACCCGATTCGGCGCACCCCTCGCACGTTTCGTGGTCCCATATTGGGCTCCACCGAAGGCCCCCAGCGCCACAGCTCGCATGGCGTACCCGCATCCGATTTAGTGGCCCCTCAGGGGGCTCCCCCGATGGCCCCAACGGCACAATCCGTACCCGCACCCAATTTGGTACACCCTCACACGTTCCGTGGCCCCATAAGGCGCTCCACGGAAGGCCCCAGAAACATAGTCCGCATGGCGCACCCGCGCCCGATTCGGAACACCCCTCATACTTTTCGTGGCACCATAGGAATCTCGGCCGAGGGCTCCAGCGGCACAGTCCGCATGGCGTACCCGCACCCGATTCGGCACAACCCTCTCACGTTTCGTGGCCCCATACGGATCTCCACCGGAAGCCCCAGCGGCACAGTCCGCATGGTGTACCTGCACCCACCTCGGCACACCCCTCACACGCTCCGTGGCTGTACGGGGATCCAATGCAGGCCCAAGTGGCAACGCCCGCGTGGCGGCCGCGCCTCATGTCGACATATTCTTCACACGCTTCGCGGCCCCATCAGGAACTCCTCCGAGGGCGACACCCACAACGACGGTACTCACAACTGCACATGGTTGGGTCCCTCGCCAGGATGTTCTTTCAAGGCAATTGCGTCCTGAGAGTACCAATCAGGATAAGTCTCTCGCGGCCAAGGGCTCACAACGATTCTGCGAAATTAGATGTGGACGCTTCGGTCCTCGCACACGGTGCGTGGGCTCGCGTACCAGAACGGCGGGTAGGCTCCTCTACTTCCGCGGGGCACCCCGACTCACTGGACGCCAACTGCCATGCTTGCCGGAGGATGCGTAAAACAGCTGACACATCCATCTCCCTACGTCTTTCTAGTATAATACATGTTGCGCAGCACATCGTCACCTACATGCGCATCTGGCCAGGAGAGCCCTGCATAATGCCGTTGCGGATCTGGGAAGAGATGTCGGCAACCCCAGCGGCGGGGCTGTGCGGGATAAAAACTGAGTTGGATTTGCTATTTGCTCCAACCTCCTTCAGCGTCTCGAAGTACTGCGTGATAAGAAGCAGTTCCGAGACCTTATCGGAGGAGAGCTGCTCCGAGGTCCCAGAGGTGACAGACCTCTTCAAACCTTCTACGATGGCCTCGCGCTGTTTGGCAATGCCTTCGCCCTGCAAACGGGCTGCTTCGCAGTCAGCCTCTGCCTTCTTCACCACTCGGATCTTCTCTGCCTCGGCGGCCATCATTGCTGCATCGCGGAGGCGTTTCTGCTTATTGATCTCGTTCATGGACTGCATCACTTCCTGGCTGGGCTTCAGCTCTGTGACAAGGGCCTTGATGATCTGGAAGCCGTACTCGTGCATTTGTCGTGTTAGGGTTTCGTTGACAGCGGCAGAAATTCGGTCCTTCTCCTCAAATGCCTCGTCCAAGAGCATCTTCGGCACGGACGACCGCACCACATCGGAGACATACGAATCGATCTGTCCGCTGACGTTGGCGAGCTTATACATGGCCGACTCGGCTTGTTCTGGAATCCGCCGACCCTGCGTCGTGTGTGAGACGCTGTCGTCGACTTCGCCGTGGTCGTCTTCGTCGTCGCCTTCGTCGCCAGTCCCAAGAGAACAGGAACGAACGTCGTAGTTCAGTCGATTTCCTCCCCTTGTCCCCTCCCTGACGGAGGGGGGGGGGTATGGGGGGGACAGGCGGGGGTACAAATAGGGGGGTACGCGGGGGGGGGAGCGGGAGGGGGTTACGGCAAGTTCGCGTCGTGTCGACCCTGGCGTTGGTTCCTGACACCACGGGGATTGTTCAACCTTGAACGATCGGCCGTTTCCGAAACGTCCAAATCGTTCCACATCGAACGATTCTGGGTCGCCCGCGGCGTTCAATGTTGAACGCCGCTGGCGGGGTCGCCGCTGGTCGACACGATACGCATCTACCGTACAAGGGGTCCCGGGTCCGATTGCCGCCCTCCCGGGGTTCCCGGCGGGTCCCGGGCAGTTCCCCCCCGTGGACAGGGGACCGGGGGACCACAGCCCCTGTGTGAGGGGGTCGCCAGCGGGGGTCCCGAGGGAGGTTCCCCATGGGATGGGTGGGGGTCCCGGGCGGGGGTGGCAGCCCCCCTCTGATCCAAGCGGGTCTACAGGGGCGGGGGCGGCAGCGGGGTTCCCCAGGGAAGTCCCGCCTTCAGGGTCGGCGGCACCGGCCGCAAGGCCTTCACAATCACTTGCTGCTGGACGGAGACTTTGACTAGAACGAACACGTTGTCTTTAGTCTTGGTCTCGACGAACACGTCGTTCTGCTCGACGCGCTTGGTGATGGAGCGGAAGGTGATACAACAACCCATGACGTCGAATCCGACAAAATTGAGTCCAGAACCGATCGATTTAGTGAAACTCCCGAAGAACTCCACGGCGTAAATCTTGTCCTGCGGCACAGAAACGCAACAGTTGCAGCAGGGTATGCACCCGGGCTCCTGCCTCTGCTGGCCCGCCATCGCCTGATCCCCTGGCGCCCGGACTGAAGGGTGAGGAGCCTCTGTGCGCTGGCAAGACCGGTGCTGGGCAGCCGCGAAAGATGCTGCTTGGGCCAGAACGGCCACGGGATTGGCGGATCTTCAACATCATCATCATCATCATCATCATCATCATCATCATCATCATCATCATCATCATCATCATCACCATCATCATCATCAACATCATCAACATCATCATCACCATCATCATCATCATCACCATCATCATCGTCCCCCTCCTCCTCCTTCCATTCTCCTCCTCCTCCTCCTGACCACCGCCACCACCACCATCACCACCACCATCACCACCACACACCACTACTATCACTATCACTATCGCTATCACTATCACTATCATTATCGCTACCGCTGTCACTAGCACTATCATTATAACCATCACCATCACCATCACCATCACTACCACCATCACTACCACTGTCACTATCACTCATCAGCATCAGCACCAGCACCAGCATCAGCATCATCATCATCATCAGCAGCATCATCATCAGCTGCAGAAGCAGCAGAAGGAGCAGCAACAGCTTGAGCCCAAATGGGGGGGTGGCGAACCTGTCACCGGTCTTTTCACTCTCTCCACGCATCGCGCCCCGGTGCGCAACGCCTTACCTGGGGCCCGATCCGAATCTCCTGGGGCGGCTGCGGTACGCGCAAAACCCTCCAGAGGGGGTTGAAACCCTCAGGACGGGCGGTGCGCGGCGCCGCCCAGAGGGCTCCGTGACTGTGGAGCCGCCCGCCCGCTCAGGGCCGCGCGCAGCACTCTGTCTCTCTGCTGCCACCCTTTTCCCCCTCCTCAAATCCTACTCCTCCCTTCCCTCCCATAACTCATCCTCCTTCTCCTCCTCCTCCGCGTCCTCCTCTTCGTCTTCTTCCTCCTCCTCCTTCCCCTTTTCCTCCTCTTCCTCCTCCCACTCTCTGCCTCCTAACAAGAAATATCTCCCTGTCACACCGCCACTCGTGTGGGTCGGGCGAGCTGGGCATTTCGTCTGAGACTTCACCGTTCGTGATCCTGAAATCCCACCAGCCCTCTGGGCGTTGGTGGTCTAGAGCGTTTCCTCTTCCACCTCACTTTTTCCCTTTCGGGGATGGGTTTATCCCTGTTCCCTATGAATGATATACCCCTCCTCCCCCAGGCGACTGGTAGCCAACCCGAGACCATGCGCCCCCCCACCATCCATTGCTGCAGAAAAACCATACAAGCACACACTCTGCCTCCAGAGCATGCGCAGCCAACCCGATGCGTCCTCCCCCCACCATCCCTGTCAAAAAACAATACAGAGTACACTTGGCGGCGGCGGCGGCCGCTGCGGCGGCTGCGGCGGCGGCGGCGTTGGCGGCGGCGGCGGCGGGGGCGGCTGCGGCGTCGGCGGCGTCTGCGGCGGCGGCGGCGGCGGCGGCGGCGGCGGCAGCGGGCGGCGGCGGCGGGCGGGGGCGGCGGCGGCGGCGGCGACGGGCGGCGCAGGCGGCGGCGGCTGCGACGGCGGCGGCGGCGGCGGCGCGGCGGCGGCGGCGGCGGCGGCGGCGGCGCGGCGGCGGCGACGGGCGGCGGCGCGACGGCGGCGGCGGCGGAGGATTGGCCCCCAGCAACTGCCCTTCCAAAGACGACTGCTGCATGTGCTAAGGCTCGGGCCGGACACGGGTGCTACGTATGTGTTGGGAGGGCGGGTGGGAGTGAGCGAGACGGCTTGCGGGCGGGGAGGGCGTCTTGACCCCTCCCCCATACCCCCTCCCCTGGACCTGGACGAAGCGCCCCGCGAGCGGTCAGGGCGTCCAAGATGGCCCAAGATGGCACTAAGAGGGCGTTAGAGAGCCCAAGATGAGCTCCAAGATGGCTCAAGATAGCACAAGATGCCTCGAGATGGCTCCCAAGATACTCCAAGACGCACCCAAACTGGTCAAAGACGGCTCTAAGATGCCAAAAGAGCACCCCATGCCAAAAGAGCTCCCCAAGGATGCCCCCAAGAGGCCAAAATCCTTCAAACACCTTGGGCACATCAATGCTTTCTGCTTTCTCGCCTCTTCGCTTCCGATGGCCATTCGAGGCCTTAAGATAGCTCCAAGATGGCCCAAGAGAGCCCTAAGAGGGGCCCAGCGGAGCCCCAAGACGGTCCCAAGAGCGCCCAAGAGCGCTCCAGGAGCGCCCCAAGAACGCTCAAAAAGGCGACTTGCGGGGGGCTCCCGAGGGGCGAGGCTTTTCGCTTCCGGTGGCCATCCGAGGCCTCAAGATGGCTCCAAGATGGCCCAAGAGGGCTCCAAGAGCGCTCGCAAAGCTCCCAAGAGCGCTTCAAGAGGGCCTCGAGAGGCGCCCAGGAGGCCCCAGGAAGCCCCAACAGGCGCCCAAGAATTTGAGCGCTGCAGCGATTTTACGGATGGAGGGCGAAACATGGGGGGCGGGCCGTCTTCTCAAAGCGGCCCCGGCCTCAAGTCGACGTCGCTCGAGCGTCCACTCCTCGTGCATTTGCCGGTGTCGTGCGTGTATTGTTTCGCAAGACGATCTGGGATGCTCCTCGATGGCCCTCGTCCCAAACAGTGCACAAGTCCGAGCGAGCGATGCCAAGCTTAGAGAGAGCGTGATCCACCGCCGCTTTACTGTGGAAAATTCCCCCCCTCTTCCTGCGGAGCCCGGGGGTCCACCCCCTCCAAGAATCCCCCCCCCCTCCCCTGCTGGAGCTCCCTCCCCTTCCCCCTGGCAAACCCCCCCCCCTTCCCTGACCGCCCCCCCCTCCGGAAAACCGGGCAGAAAACCGGGGGGGGTCACTACTGGTTCGAACCCCTCCCCCGCCCCCCACATAACCAGAGAGGGGTCACTACTGGTTCGAACCTCTCCCCCCCCTCCAGAAAATAGGGGGGGGTCACTACCGGTTCGAAAGCCCCCCCCCCTCGAAAACAGGGAGGGGTCACTACTGGTTCGAACCACCACCCCCCTCGAAAACCGAGGAGGGTCACTGCCGGTTCGAACCCCTCCCCCCCCCTCGAAAACCAGGGGGGGTCGAACCCCTCCCCCCCCCAACGCTCACCGCCAGCAAACAACTCTGGGTCCCTACCACCGTCCGCACCACATCCCCCACTGCTGTCCCCAGCACCACTGTCCTTACCACTGTCCCCACTGTTCCCACCACCGTGCCACCTGTCCCCACCAGTGCCCCCACCAGTGTCTCACTGTCCCCACTGTCCCCACCACTGTTCCCACCACGGTCCCACTCTCCCCACTTTGCCCACGGTCCCCACCACTGTCCCACCACTGTCCCACTGTCCCCGCCGCTGTCCCACTGTGCTGTCCCACCGTCCCCACTGTCCCCATCACTGTCCCCCTGTCCCCACTGTCCCCACCACTTGCCCCACTGTACTACTGTCCCACCACTGTCCTCACCACCGTCTTCACCACTGTCCCCACCACTACCGTCCCCACCACTGTCCCACTGTCCCCACCACCGTCCCGCTGTCCCCCTCACCACTGTCCCCACCACCACCGTCCCCACCACTGCCCCACTGTCCCCACCACTGTCCAGCTGTCCCCCTCACCACTGCCCCCACCACCACAGTCCCCACCACTGCCCGCACAACTGTTCCACTGTCCCCGCACCACTGTCCCCACCACCACCGTCCCCACCACTGTCCCAACATCCCCACCATTGTCCAACTGTCCCGAGGGGGGAGAGGGGGGGATTCGAACCGGTAGTGACCCCCCCCCCGGTTTTCGAAGGGGAGGGGGGGGCGGGGTTCGAACCGGTAGTGACCCTTCCGGTTTTCGAGGGGGGGGTTCGAACCGGTAGTGACCCCCCTCCCCTTTTCATGATGGACTGAGGGGAGGGGGGAGGGGTTCGAACCAGTAGTGACCCCCCCCCAGTTTTCGAAGGGGGGGGGGACGGGTTATAGGAACCCCCGGTGACGCCGCCCCGGTTTCCCGCCAGCAGCGGTGGAGCACGCTCTTTCCAAGCTTTGCGTCGCGTACGTTCGTCTCGAAAGTTCGCATCGGCATCGCAGATGGAGGGCGGGCCACTCTCAAGAGGTGGCTCTCGCCGGAGCGTCGCGCGCACTCGCCGCAAAATGTTGCCGCGGTGTCGCGTGCGGACGGCGGCCCGATTTCAGAACGCTTTCGCCTTAGCGCCGCGCGCCATCCTTCTAAAAGTGTGCAGCAACTTTACTGATGGTCCATGGGCCTTGGTAGATCCCCACTGCCGCCGAACCTGCCACTTTCCCGACGCCCGCGAAACCTGTTCTTACACCCCGACGAGCAGTCCACCAGATTCGCCGTCGCAAACCAACTTCCCTCATGGCATTCCACACATTGTCTGCGGTCTTTGGAGGGCGGCTCTTTTCAAAATGTGGCTATCGCCCTAACGCCGCGCACATGCGCCTCAGCAGCTGGCAACCGTCAAAGGACTTGTATTGTTGAAGTCCCAAGAACGGTGTTCTCACACGATATGAGGGATTGTCAGGACGCAACAATAAACATTGATTCGCTGTGTGAAGTCACAAGAACAGTGCTTTGGCCCTATTTAGGGTTGCCAGGGCGCAGCCAGCACGTTGATTCGCGGCGCTGATGTCACAATAAAGGTGTGTGTCGGCGCGATTGAAGATTCTCAAACTGTTGCCTTCTAGAGCGGTACTTCCCGCACTGGCGCTACATCTTTGAAGGGTCAAGAAGGAACTTGCAGGAAGGTCTGTTGCAACATCGCCGACGCGTGTTATGATACCGGTCATCTTTCTCTCTCCTCCCCCTCCTCTCAAACCCTCATCTCCCCCCTCCCCCTTGCACCTCTCAGTTCCTCCTCCCCCTCCTCCTCGGCTTCGTCCTCTTCCTCCTCCTCCTCCTCCTCCTCCTCCTCCTCCTCATCCTCCGCCCGAATCCGTCCTCCTCCTCCTCCTCCTTACCCTCCTCCTTCTCTTCCTCCCTCCTCCTCCCTCCTCCTCGGCTTCGTCCTTTTCCTCCTCCCTCCTCTTCCTCTTTCTCCACCCGCCTCCTCCTCCCTCCTCTTCCTGCCGCTGCTCCTCCGCCCCCTCCGGCCCCCGAGGTCCCGCTCCTGTGGCCTCCTGCGCGGGGAACGCGCTCCGTTGGCAAAGAGCTGCCCGCGCCGCGGGGCCCGCCGGCCTTGCGCGCGGCCGCGCGTGCGCTCTCGAAGTCGGCGAGCACCGTCAACTGGTCCTACGGCGCGCGCGCGCTGGCGCGCGCTGGCGCGCGCTGGCGAGTGCGGGGCGCGGGGTCTGGGAGAACGCACTCCTCGCCCTCCCTCCCTGGTCGTCCTCCTCACTGGTCTTCCTCCCTCCTCCTCCTCCTCCTCCTCCTCCTCCTCCTCCTCTTCCTCCTCCTCCTCCTGCTCCCCATCCTCCCTTATTCCTCCTCCTTCCTCCCTCCTCTCCCTCGCTCTTCCTGCTCCCTCCTCTCCACCCTCCCTCCTTCCCGTCCCTCCCTCCCCATCCCTCCTCCCTTTTCCTCGTCCCTCCTCCCTCCTCTCCCTCTCTATTCCTCCTCCCTCCTCTCCAATTCCCTCCCTCCTCCCTCCCCCGTCCTCCCGCTCTCCTCCTCCCTCCTCCTCGTAGAGCACATCCCTCCAAACCGTTCGTCATGGCGTCCACGCATGCTGAAACCGAAAGCCAACTACCGTGCATGAGGGGGGGGAGGAGGAGCAGGACCAGGAGCAGGAGGAGGACGATGCGGACGAGGACGAGGCGGACGAGGCGGAGGAGGAGGAGGAGGAGAGGGAAGAGGAGGAGGAGGAGGAGGAGGAGGAGGAGGAGGAGGAGGAAGAGGAGGGAGGAGGAGGAGGGAGGAGGGAAGGGAGGAGGAGGAGGAGGAGGAGGAGGAAGAGGAGGAGGGAGGAGGAGAGGAAGGAGGAGGGAGGAGGAGGGAGGAGGAGGGAAGGGAGGAGGGGGGAGGAGGAGGGAGGAGGAGGGAGGAGGGAAAGAGGAAATGGATGGCGGGGGAGGGCAGGGCTCTCGCGGCCAGAGAGAGCCAAGGCGGCGACTTCTTGTCCGGCGGGCGCCGAGGGCGGGCGCTCCCTGCGCGCGGGCGCTCAGCGAGGGCGACAGACGGCACCCGGCTCGCAGGACGCGCGCGCGCACCTTCGCGACTCGCGGAGCCTCCGCGCAGGAGGACGGCCCAGCCAGCGGGGCGCCGTCACAAGCCTTTCTCTCAGGGCGACGAGGCCTATGCATTTTCTCCTCCTCCTCCTCCTCCTCCTCCTCCTCCTCCTCCTCCTCCTCCTCCTCCCCACCCCTCCTGGCTTGGCCAAGGGAGTAGGACGAGGATGATGCCATGATGCGATCGACGGAGGTCCAGAGCATCTGGCGGCAATCGTCTCTGCAGCCCGTGTGGGAACTGATGGAATCTGGGGAATCCCGGAGATCTTGGGACGTGTCATTCTCATGATCTCTTGCTCCTCGGAGGGAGGCACATGCGCCGCTCCTGGGCCCGGGACGGGCCTTGCCAGGGGCAGTGGATGTGTACAGTTCTCGTCGCCCCAGCTTGATCTCCATCTTCTGATGGGAGCCAGATATCCCCTCGCACACGTACACGGGGATGTCGGCGCCCTTGCCCAGCTTCTGGCCGCCTCCGCCGCCGACCACGCGACGTCTCTCCTCCGCGCCCCCTCTCCGGCCAGCCACAACAGGTGGGGGTCTCAGGACGTTTCGGTGCCAGACTGTGCGATGTTCCCAAATCCCCCAAAACCTCACCGCACGGTCCGCAACCGCACGGGCTTGGGACCTTGAAGGCCCCAATCGCCCGAGACATCCTCGGAGAGCGACCCGAGTCCCAAGACCTTGCGGTCACCCCGAGTCTCAAGCAACTCACCATGCTTAGAAGAAGGAACAAAAATTTATAAACATTATTTTTGGGCGCTCCGCGCTGAGCGCGCCAGGGGCGGCGCTGGAGGCGCCCGCGCCGCCGGGGGGGCCCAGGCGCGGATCCAAGAAATCTGCGCGGAGCGCCAACAAATTATGTTTGTTCCGTTTTTTCTTCTTCGAATGCTATGTGGTCGCCGCACCGTCTGTGGATCCCCGAGCTGGGGGAGCTGTGCTAGTGCTCCTTCCTCTCGCCAGGAGGAGCCCATCGCGCCGACGACCTTTCGACAAGGGGGTCGAAGCCGGTGGGGCCCCTCCCAGGAGGGGAGGCGGGAGGCAAGGGCCACATAGCCCCCTCAGCTGTGCCGGGAGAAGGAACGGCGTAAGGCCCGAGACAACCTTCGGAGGTCCGCGCGGATTCCTTGGATCGGCGCCACACCCTGACAGGGGATATGGCGACCCCTACCCCGGGCTTCGTGGGGTCCTCGAATGGTCCAGACATTTGGAGCCCAACCCTGGGATACAATTGCGATGGAGGGGCGTCCATCTTCGAGAGGGGTGCGTCTGACTAGCCCACTTGGGGTGCAGCCTAGGGCTTCCTTGCTTTCTGAACGGCTTCATTCGTAGTCGAAAAGTCGCGAGGGGATAGAAACATCGCTTGCGAGACCCAGCGGCCAGCGGGGGTGGAAGGGCGCTGGCGGCGCCGCCAGCCCAGACCTCCGACGTCATGATTTTTCATTACTCGGCGGCGAGCCCGGGGGGAAGTGAGAGGGGGCGGCGGGCTTTCTGAGAAGGTTCGGAAGCCCCCCCCACCTTCTCAGAAGTTTTCCAAGCCTGCCCCGAAGACACAGAGCACTTCTCGGAAGGCGCGAGGGCTTCTGAGAAATCCCGCCGCCCTCTGAGAAAGCCTCCTCCTTCTCACTCACCACACTCGCTCGCCGCCGAATTATGTCGACCCGCGCAGATGTTGACCCATTTCCCAGGGCCGGCCTTCCATCCCGAGTCACATGTTTTGACGGCCCCGAGGCCCGTTCAGGGCCCCCTGCAGCCGAACATACTGGAGAACCTCCCGCCGTGAGTTTTTCACGACCCGATGGGGTCTGGGAGCGGGGGGGGCCAGGGCAGATCAGAGCAACCCGCGCAGTCCTCCGCGACTTTTCGAAGGACTGCAGACTTGAATCACCCCTGAACTAGTCTTCTTTTCGTCGAACTTGCGGAACTACGTAGCTCGTTCGGATATCTACGAACATGCGACGTACTTTCCGTAAGACCGAAGAACAACACTTCGACGGTAAATCAATTCTGCAATCGATTTCATGGCTCAAAATACCCCGTGATTTTGGTTTCCGTTTTGTGTTCGTTTCCCTTCGTTCCGTATTGGCTCTCCCTTTGGTCATGGACCTTTCAACTGCCGGGCCAGAAGAGGTTCTTCAAGAGCCGGTTACACTGCGGGGCATCGCTGCCTTGCTCAAGGGCCAGCTCCGCTCGTGACGTCCGTAGTTGCACAACTGCGTAAGGACTTCGCCAACCTCGAAGCGGAAGTCACCGATGAGAAGGGCGACACACACTCCGACAGGATGGAGGGCGTTGAAGCCGAGATGGCAAATGACGACTTTCGCATCGAAAAGCTTGAACACATGTGCGAGGTGATGGAGAAGTGGCTGGGCTACAGCATGGACGAGATCGAGAACAAGATCCAGGAATGCATCAGGATCGCATTGAAGAGTGAGGCCTTCACCGAGGAACCACGCCTCCAGAACCCCGTGATCACAGACACGCGCACAATAACCATGGTCATCGGCAACGTGGACGGTTTGGGGGATCTCAGCTCCGCCATCGATTTGCTCCATAGGAAACTTGATCTCTCTCTCTCTCGGACCCCGCCCAACAAAGGTGTACGCGAAGGGCGACTTCAAAGGCATCTTGTTCGCAGAGTTTGCTTCCACTGCTGCTCGTGATCGGGCGGTCGATGCACTTCGTGGAGCTGCCCTGCCGGTAGGTGACAAGAAGGCGTGGGCCAGCCAGGACAGGTCCCCGCCCAATTGTGCTGCTCGTAACTCTCCTTTGGTTTGAAACACATGCTTGAAACCGGTTGGAATATTCCTTGCGTTCTCCAGATTTCAGGCGGAGCCTCCTACAAAATGACGGTCGGTGGGAAGGACGCCGTTACGGTGCACGTCGAGGGCAACAACGTCAGGCATGAGTGGCACGGGGAATGGAGGACGTGGGATGAGCCTCACGACAACCCGAAGGTGAAGGAGCTCATCCAGAAGACATCAGACATGTGTGTCGCGTGCGGGACAGGGCAAGGGCGGTGGGGGTCTCGCGAAGGGGAGCGCCAAGGGGCGCTAGGATCCATCGCACAGGAACACGGTTTCACCCAATGCTTCGCCAGAGCTCGCGGGAGCAGTCGGTAATGCTGCGCGTCCGCCTCTCGATCATCACGCGAATTGCTCATCGTATGAAGCCCTTGTTCTTCGAGGTGGGAGGCTCGCAGTGGCCAGGCTGAGTCTCCAGCTTGGTTCTTGGAACGTGGAGGGCCACACAGAAGCGAACATTGTGGAACTGCAAAACCACATGTTTGAATTTGACATCGGCGCGTTGTGCTTAAATGAGACACACAAACCTGAATTACAATATTTGGTTACGGATGAAGGGCACCACCTGCGGGTGCTCTCAAGTTCCCAAGAAAATAGCGGATAGCGAGAATGCTGGCGTTGGATTCTTGGGTGCGCCACGGGATCGACGAAATGTCGCCGGCTTCCGCCAGGCTACATCGAGAATGGCATCTCTCAAATTCATGGTCGAAGGTGGCAAGATCGTGAGTTGCAGCGCATGTGCTCGCCACAGCGAGGAACCGCCAAAGACGGCATGACTTTCAATAGCTGCCGCAATTCATCGTGCCGCTCTCTTGCCATGGTCCGGTGTTCCTGTGCGGCGACCTTAACGCCCGCCTGCATGTCGAGGGGCCCAGCGAGGAAGCAATCGTGGGAATGCATGTTTTCGGCATAACGCATGCGCAGCACAGCCTGGAGTCGAACCAATTCTGCTCAGAGATAAGTTGCGCGAGGGAATTCGCAATCGCCAACGCGTACTTTGATGAGCCAGCAGAGCGGCAGAAAATTTGCTACGACATTGGCTTGTCCTCAGCAAGCCCTATAACGCAAAACCACTTCGGCCAAATAGACTTCGTCGCCGTTTCTTCTTCGTGGCTAGACTCGGCACATGGGGAGTGGAGCGACAAGACCCGAGCACTTGCTTCCCACCACTGTCTCGTCTGGGCGTCGGTCACGATGGAGGTTCCGAAGACGGAGCCCCGCGGAGGCCGAAAGAGAAAACATATCGCTACCCTTCGGGAGCCGGACGTGGAGCACACCTTCGTGGACGTGTTCCGGGGTCCATCCATGTGGGGAGACTCTCCATGGGGGGTGGATCCCATGGGGGGGCAGGAGGGGATCCCCCCCATGGGATCCCCTCCTGCCCCCCCCATGGGATCCCCAGGGGATCCTATGGGATCCCCCCCCTGGGATCCTATCCCCCCCTGGGATCCCCCCCCATGGAGAGTCTCCCGACCATGGGCGCCCCGAGAGCGCCCGGGAGCGGAGCGAGGCGGTCGGAGCTAGGCGCGCAGCACGAGGAGGCAGTGGATCTGGGGAGGCACGCTGGAGCTCCTGCGCCAGCGCAACCTTGAAGGGGCCCCAGGACACACAAATAAATACACACAAATAAAACGATTCCCCATCTTTTCCCGTATTTTCTGGGTTTTGTGTCTTCCCCACCACTTCCCATATTTTCCCATATTTTCTGGGGGATCGACGATTAATTGTGTCTGTGTTTTTTTTTCCCTCCTGAAACCTGGCACGCAACCCGGCACGCTCGAGTTGCGACGTGAAGACAGGACGAGACCTGCACAAGTCGCTACGATTACAGTCGGGGCGTTGACCTAAGGAACCCTAAATAAGGAACGAGGCCCCTAAGTTAAACTTCGATTTCCTGTCGAAAACATAAGGAAAACCTGAGGCAAGCTGTGAAACACTTAAGGAACGCGGAGCCCCTCCCCAACCAAAATGGTCCCTTCTTCAGGGCCCCGACTGTATGACAGTCCGTGAAAAATAGCCTTTCCGAACTGGCTCGCAGAACCACTCGCGACCGTGAGCGGGTCGCGGGTGCGGAGGCTCCGCACAAGGCGTCGCCCCGAAGCAGGGCCGTCTCCGGAACGCGGCCGGGGAGCCCGTGGGCTCCGACTCTCGAGCGGACACGCTGGCGGCATATCTCGGCCAAGTCCAGTGGGCGATTCGGCCGATGAACGCAGCTGGGGCCGACGGCGTCCTCGGGGCCGAGCTCCCAGTCTGTAAGGAGCCCACAAAAGACGTACGCGCCCAGCTATGTACATGAACACGGCCCCTCGATCCGCGAGACCGGCCGCGTTATACGAACATTTGCGCAACGCGTACTCTCGAAACCAGCGTGGATTCATGTACATGTACGTCCTTTTTCCGCTCCTGAAGTCTGGCGCGCCCGTATCGGAGGAGGCGGTCGTCCAGGCTGCTTCCAAACTACGGCTGGGCAAAGCTGCTGGCAAGGACGGCATCCCGGGCGAATGCTGGAGAGCAATTTGCAGGCCTGGATCTGAAGCTTGCCCATGGGCGGCTGCACTCTGCGATCAGTGTTGGTCTGGCTGTGTCAGTCCAGATGGGTGGCACGAGGCCGTCATGAGCACGATCTTCAAAAAGGAGGACGCTTCGCAGTGCGAGAATTACATACCGATTTCATTGTTTCTGTGGGACACAAGCTGTTCGCTGCAGTCCTTCTCAACAGACTCAAGATCGGAGGCGCGAACAGAGGGCATGGAGTACCCAGCTTGGGCTCGACAGCAAGCACGGCACAACGGATGCCATTGTCTTGGTGCGGCGCCTCACGGAGGTGTCGTGGGCAGAACGAAAACGGGCGTCTGATGCTCCTCGCCCTTGACTGGGCCAAAACATTCAATACCGTTTCGCTGGATGCACTCTGCTGGGCCCTGCAGAGATTCGGCATCCGGTCGGATTTCATCAGCGTTGTGCGAGCGATCTACACAAACTGGACATTCGAAATCCGAGACGCGGGATCGGTGTCCAACGCTTACCCGCAGGACTTCGGAATCAGCCAGGCATGCTCTGTATCGCCTTTTCTCCTTGCTATTGTATTGACGCTCTGCTCCACGACGCGAAGCGGGAGGCGCTGCCCAACCTGGACCTGATGCAGCGGGCGCACGAGCTGGTGTACGCAGACGCCACGCTGCTAGTGGCCACCGCGGCCGAGGAGGCCTCCGAGTATATGCGCTGCGTGCAGCGAGCTGGACAACAACATGGTCTCCAATTCGAATGGCGAAGATTGGGAAGTTCTGTTGAAGGGGTGCAGCGCGTGCATCCTGAAGACGGATGGGAATGCAACTCCGCAGAAAGACGGCACCATTTAGCTCGGGAGCTCGATTGCCAGCGATGGAAAAGTCGGCACGGAGCTGTCTCGCCAACCGGACGCTGCCGGGCCCGAGTTTGGAACTCTGGCTGGGGTGTGGTCTCGTTCTGCACTGGGCAATTCGGTAAACTTGCGCAACGTTGATGCCTCCGTGGTAAGTGAGCAAGCTGCTGTACTGCCTTCCAACGTCGTTTCTGAACAAGCACGAACTTCGCATACTGGACGCCTTCCAAGCCAGGTGCCTCTGCCAAGTTCTACTCAAGGGGCCCAAGGACACACAAATAAATACACACAAATAAAATGATCCCCCATATTTTCCTATATTTGATGGGTTTTTGTCTTCCCGCCCACTTCCCATATTTTCCTATATTTTCTGGGAAATCGAGGATTGATTGTGTCTGTGTGTTTCTTTTCCTCCTGATCTACGCTGTCCGCATTTTTGCATAAGCAGCGTGTCCAACGAGTGCGTCCTGCAGCGCGTCGGATCTCAGCCGCTGAGCAGCGCTCTGCGTCGCCGCCAACTCCTGTTCCGGAGGCACGTTGCCTGGATGCCAGGCGGCGATCCCGTGAGGCCGACGGTCTTCTGGTCTTTCTCACACGACCTGGCGCTGCCCATGCTCAAGAGGACGCTGGAGCGACCGAGAAAGACGTGGTGTTCTGAGATTCATGCGCACGCTGTCCTGGCAGCAGGGGGTGAGGAGGCCCATGCGCATCTGTGGCAAGATTCAGTGCAGCCTGGCACGCGACCGTCACGCGGTATTGCGATGCCCTCCGAGGCTGCTTTTCGTGCCAATGTGCGCTTTTGCACTCAACTTCTCTCTCTCTCTCTCTCTCTCTCGAGCTTGTTCTTCTTTTCGTCGAACTTGCGAGCATACGTGGTATGTTGGGAGATCTACGGACACGCGACGTGCTTTCCGTAGAGAAGAATAATACAGTTCTGGGGTGCATGAACTCTGTAGTCGATCTCAGGGCTCGAGCCACACAGCGTTTTTGTTCGCGTTCGTGTTCTCGTGTTCGTCTTCCTTCGTTACGTCTTCGTTCTGCCTTTGCTGCGGCGTGAAGCCAAAGCGAAGACGATCCACGAGATCGCCAAAACACCGTTTCGCTCGAGCCACAGCCGATCTCCTACTCCAGATTTCGTAATAAAGGGAGGGGGGTCTCATTTCGGGGGGGGTCTCTTCCAGGCTATCTTGGAGGGCCTGGGGGGAGGGTTCTCCCACGGGGGGGGGGGTCTGAAATGACTTGTCTTGGAGGGCCAGACCCCCTCCCTTTTATTACGAAATCTGGAGTACCCGAGCGCTGTGGCTGGCCCGCCTCTGGCACCCTCCGCGGCGCGCGCCGCGAGGGCCGTCCCCGCCTCCGGGGCCCCCCGGGCAAGGCCAGTGCCAGCCGGGACGCTGCTGCCGACCAGGGCCAGGAGAGGAGGGCAGCTCGCCATCGCTCGGACGTCCATTTCCCCGTGCATGTTTCGGTGTCGTGCGTGTCTTTTCTCGCAAGGTGATCCAGGATGCTCCTCGATGAGCCTCGCCGAGGAAAACAGGCACGCGTCCGAGCGATGCCAAGGAGGAGGAGGGCCGAGGTATGGTGATGTCAGGGCGCCTGGGGGTATCGAGTTCTGCGGCTGGGACGCGAGAAAACGGCCCCTGTGCGTGGGTTGAGATGGGCGCAGGGCCCTCATTGGGTGTAGGGCCCGCCTGCCTGGAGCGGCAAGGCTAGGAGGGTCGACGAGGAGGAGGAACAAACAGAAGGATGGCGATGAGCGATGGCGAGGCAGGGGAGGGCAAAGAGGGCGTGAGCGAGGAGGAGAGGGAGGAGAAGAAGGAGGAGGATGACGAGGAGGAGGATGACGAGGAGGAGGATGACGAGGAGGAGGATGACGAGGAGGAGGATGACGAGGAGGACGACGACGAGGAGGAGGCGAGGAGGAGAGAAGGAGGGGGGAGGAGGAGGAGGAGGAGGAGGAGGAGAGGAGGAGGAGGAGGAGGAGGAGGAGGAGGAGGAGGAGGAGGAGGAGGAGGAGGAGGAGGAGGAGGGAGGGAGGGAGGAGGACGGAGGGAGGGAGGGAGGGAGGGAGGGAGGGAGGGAGGGAGGGAGGGAGGGAGGGAGGAGGGGAGGAGGAGGAGGAGGAGGAGGAGGAGGAGGAGGAGGAGGAGGAGGAGGAGGAGGAGGAGGAGGAGGAGGAGGAGGAGGAGGAGGGAGGGAGGAGGAGGAGGAGGAGGAGGAGGAGGAGGAGGGAGGAGGAAGAGGATGATGATGAGGAGGAGGAGAAGGAGGCGGAGGAGGAGAAGGAGGAGGGGGGGAGGAGAAGAAGGAGGAGGAGGAGGAGGGGGAGGTGGAAAGGGGATCTCGGCCCCAAGTGACGCGGCCTTCTGAGAGGACCGCCTGTACCATTACCGCGGCGTGCGCTCGTTCAAGGTGGGATCCGGCACACGAATTCTCGTACACTCCGGTCGGAAAAATAGATAGAGTTCAGGCCATCCCCAATAATACAACACACAACAAAAACACATCGGTTCTTGAGATAGGAGGGCGCTTGAAGTAGATGGGGCTCTGGATATCAAAAAATGCCTGACTTTCAACGACGACCGACGTGTATGCTCTGAACATTTCATCTGGAGAGTGGAGCGTTTTCTTATTCGGCGTTTCTACATTGGGCGGAAGGGTTGGGGGAGGGGGGGGTCTGGCTCCAGACCTCTGCTTAGCGCGACTGTTTGCAACAGTGCGTCCTATGGGGGATAGAGGCTCCACCTGCTCGAAACAGGCGCCAAAAACGGCCAAGATCTGCTCGGGGGAAAGGGGGCTCGAGGGCCCGCGCCGATCGGCAAAACAACGGATAAGAAAACGAGCACCTGGAGAGGAGGAGGCATGGAGAGTGCTTCGACCCACTGGCCATCGCCAAATGATCAAGGATGCTCCTCGATGGTCCTCGCCGAAGGAAAAAATGCACACGTCCGAGCGTTTCGACCCACGGCTGCAGCTTCCCGCTCGCAACCGGCCCCTGGAGCCCCCCCGCGGTCCACCCCGACCGGTGCTCCGCCGCGGGTCCCGCCGCGGCGACGAGACGCCTCCAGGGCCCCCCTGGAACTGGCCATCGCTCGGACGCCCATTCCCTGTGCTTTTGGTTCGGTCTCGTGCGTGGCTTTTTCGCCAAATGATCGAACGGATCCTCCTCGATGGTCCTCGCCGAAGGAAAAATGCACACGTCCGAGCGATGCCAAGCCCCCGGAAAGGACGCACCAGCGGTCCCGATCCAATGTCCCGTGGCAGCTCGTGGGAGCCTCCCACGCCATGCTGCACGGTTGGCTCTTGCGGATCGACGCTCCTCGGGCGCTATACAATTCGACGCTCATCGACGCTGAATCGGCGCCTTCTCGTCGACTGCCAGGCGCGAGATCGCACGGCAGTGCGCTCTGAAGACGGAGTTCCGAAGACACTCGAGACTCCCATGATCTGCCACCGAACCAATGTCCTGAGGGGCAACCATATGGGGGGACCATCTGGAATCGGCGGTGCATCGCCGACGGATGGGCGATGTACCCCCAGAAGTGGATCCGCATGCTCCTGGGCGGGGGTGGGCTGTCGGGCCGATGCCGGCGAACCATGGGCGATTGGGGGTCGCTGGCCATCGCTCGGACGTCCATTCCCTGTGTTTTTTCGGCTTCGTGCGTGGCTTTTTCGCCAAATGATAAAGGATTCTCCTCGATGGCCCTCGCCGAAGGAAAAAAGCACACGGCCGAGCGATGCCAAGGGTCGATGCATCTCCCCACTGAGCCTCTCCCCCTGAGGAGGAGGAGGAGGAGGAGGAGGAGGAGGAGGAGGAGGAGGAGGAGGAGGCGGAGGGGGAGGCGGAGGGGGAGGAGGAGGAGGAGGAGGAGGCTCTCCCCCCCCCCCCCCTCTCGTTGCCACTGGTGCCCTGGCCCTGTCCGAAGAGTCCCCGCGCCGAGGGGCCCCGCCGCCGCCTCCGAGCCCAGCGCCGCCTCGGCCGCCTCGGAAGACGAGGCCAGGGCGAGGACGACAGTGGGCGAGGATACAGCACAGTCGGGGCCTTGACCTAAGGAGCCCTAAATAATGCGGGGTGACGATTCATAAAACAACTGGGGGGGAACGATTAAACAAAACACAAAAAAAAAATCTGCCATTTCTGCACCATGTTCTGACTGGAGGAGAACGATTGAAAACATAGTTTTCCAGCCCGCGGCCGGTTTTCTCTAATCGTCATCCTGGGCGCCGCCGCGTGAACACGACCCCCGGTCATTTATTAATCGTCATCCTCCATTAATGAAGAGCCAGGCCTCCGCGCTCGGGGGGCACCTACGTCGAAGACGGGAGGGTAAATCAAGAAGGATAAGTCGAATGATGCTACATCGTGACTACAGTCGGGGACTTGACCTAAGGAACCCTGAATAAGGAACGAGGCCCCTATTTTCCACAAGTTGGCCTTCGACTTCCGATCGAAAACATGAGGAAAACCTGAGGCAAGCTGCGAAACACTTACGGAACGCGGAGCCCCTCCCCAACGAAAAGGGTTCCTTCTCCAGGGCCCCGACTGTAGGAGCTCGACCACACGAGAAACCACAGGAAATCCAACCCTGAGACCCCATGATGTGCATTGGCTTTTGGTATCACGTTTTCCATCGTAGCACCATCGGCACTCAAGAAACCGAGGGCACCCTGGAGGCAAGCAGGGTGTTTCTTGGCATGGGTTTCCACTGAAATCGAGAATCTCTGAGATCGGGCGGCTCTGGCCACACTTATGTCCCTCATGCAAACTCGAGGATCTAAACTAGACTACGTCTTCAATGTGATGGTAGGGTTAGGGGCTCTTGTACTCTCGGTGATCTTAGGGTCGTCGTGGGCCCCTCTTGCGCCGTCCAGGGGCTCTCTCTGGTCGTCCTCAGGCCCTCTTGAGCCGTCTTGGGGCCCTCTCGGAAGCCTCTTGGCCCGTTTTGGGGGGCAATCTCGGAGGCCCTCTGGACCGTCTTTGGCCGATCTGGAAAAAGGCGATCTGGCTAGCAGAAAAACAGAAATTTGGCGCTCCGCGCGGATTGCTTGGATCTGCGCTGGACGGCCTTGCGGTACTACCGTGCGTTGGATCTTTAGGTGCTGCCTTGCGGTTTCCCCGAAAACGGCATACACATCAGCTTCCGGAGCTCCGCGCGGATTTTTCGGAATCTGGGCCCCCATGGCGGAGCCTCCGGCGCCGCCCCTGGCGCGCTCCGCGCGCTGGGGAGGGGGGCCCAGCGCGGATCCAAGACATCCGCGCGGAGCGCCAAAGTTCATATTGATGGCGTTTTTGCTGCTTCGAGGGGAGGCGGTCTGGCCCCGTCCGACCTCTGGCGGCACGCCCTCGGCCCCGAGCGCCTCCACCACAGCGGCGCAGAGGGCGGGCTCCAGCCCGGCCGCGCTGGACGCGGGCAGCAGGTCGCTCAGCTCAGCCGCCTCGGCGGCCACCAGCCTCGCCTGGAGGAGGAGGAGCAGGAGGTACAGAGCAGGGCTCGACCTGAACAATGTTCTTCGTTTTCGTTGTGCTTTCGTTTTCCCTCGTTCTGTCTTCCATCCACCTTTACCACAAAACGAAGTCGAAACGAAAACGGCCCACGAAATCGCCAAAACACCGTTGAGGTCCACCCCTGCTGCAGAGCAGATCAGCACCAATGGTCCGATGTAGTGCCTCGGGCTAATTAAACGGCCAGAGGCGCCAAACATTGCAAGAAAGCGGACCAGGCGTTCGTGAACCACTTCAGGGGCACGAGACTTCGTGGGGCACTAGCAGAAAGACCCTCTCTGGAGCAGGAGGATCAGGAGGAGGAGCGCGGTGGACGTGCACCCGACCTCTGTCCTGGCCTGGCCCGTCCTCTGAGCCCAGGATCGGTGCACGCGCCGACCTGGCCTGGGCCAGAGGGGGGGGGGGGGGGGGGCACATTGCACCGATCGACGAGACGGTCCTGGGAACGTGTGCTAGCAATGGCGCCTAACTTCGCGCTTCGCGCTGTGCGATTTACTTCGCGCTCTGGCGCCGCCCCGCAGGGGTGAAGAGGACGAGGAGGAACCGGAACCGAACCGTGTCGAATAGCTTCGCGCCCTCGGGGTCGACCTTGCATGACGCACCGATCGACGATCCTTGGAACGTGTGCTAGCGCCATCGTGCGCTTGTCCGCTGAAGCCCTTCAGCTTGACGAAGGCGTTTAACGAGGGCCAGTACCAGCTGCGTGCTGTCGTTCGAGCTGGAGCCCCACGACGACGACGTCCACGACGACGACATCGACGACGACGTCGACGAGGACATCGCGATGGCAACGGCGACATCTACGACGACATCGACGAAGACTGCATGAACAATCACGACGACGTGCACCACGACGAGATGCCGCCCCCTGTCGTGTGTGTGCCCAGACTCCTCGCCGCCCGGTCACCACCAGCCCCGCGGCCAGGCCCGCGTCGCGCGCGCCGGCCCGGGCCACGGCCAGGCGGCCCTTGCCGTCCAGCTCCGCGAAGGCCGCCGCCCACGCGTCGCTGACCAGCAGCGCCGCGGCGGCCTCCCAGGCCTGCCTCGGAGGAGGAAGCAGAGCTGCACGAGCACAAACCTCTGGCGCTCCGCGCGGATGCCTTGGATCCGCGCTGGGCCCCCCTCCCCAGCGCGCGGAGCGCGCCAGGGGCGGCGCCGGAGGCTCCGCCACGGGGGCCCAGATTCCCCAAACTCCGCGCGGAGCTCCGGAGGCTGAGGTGTATGCCGCTTCCGGGGAAACCGCAGGTCGGTGCCCATGCTGCTACACCCCGGACCTCGTCTGGGGCACGCTCTGACCAGAACTGCGAGGCGGATCCAGCGGTGGCCACGAGGGCCTCCACTGGCCATCGCTCGGACGTCTATAATAGACGTCCGAGCGATGGCCGCTGAGCGTGGACCGCGCCATCCGCCGGTACTTCTGCGCGACGACAGCCAACTGGCCGCCGACGGACACGGCGATTCTTTTCCGAGCTGCGCGTGCCACCGATACCGTACAATAGCCCCGGGCTCGGGGAGAAACACTTTCGAAGCATTTTCAGGCCGCCAGCGTCGTGGCTGCCGACCCGCCGCGCGCCGACCGCGAGACTAGCTGGGCCCACTACGTCCACGGCGGCGGGCGGGCGCCCAAGAGAGCTGTCGCGACGGTGCGCGCGGCGGGGCGCCCGCCCCACTGCAACCGCACATGCGGCCTCCATGGCGCCACAGGCGTAATATGTGTGACGCGCTCTCTCGGGCCCCCCATCAACGCATCGACCAGCGCCCAAGCCCCTGAAACGCAAACCTACTGCGCCCCCCGTGCAAGCCGCGCACCCGCTCCCAATGCTCGTGCACACCAGCTTTTCTGCCCGCCCTCAACAGTTTAATTGAGCGCCCATGCGTTACTTGGGCTCCTCAAGCCCTCGAAAAGTCCTTGGGGGACTTCTGCGAATGCGCGCGCTGCGCTTCACAATTCGGCGTTCTATTTTTCTTTGGAACTCTCCCAGAATCTCTGGTTCCGATTTGTCCCGATCTTCCGCTCAACTGACTATTTCCTGAGCTTTTTTCGGTTTCGTGCGTGGCTTTTCGCCAAATGATCAAGGATGCTCCTCGATGGTCCTCGCCGAGGGAAAAACGCACACGTCCGAGCGATGCCAGGCTCCAAGGAGGCCTCAACGTGGGGAAAAACGAGGGGCGGGTGGCGGTATGGGCACCTCCTCGAGGCCTGGCGAACGCCGGCACCTCTGACGCCACGCGCAGCAGGAAGAGCCAGGCCTCCGCGCTCGGGGGCACCTAAGTCGAAGACGGGAGGACCAGTCGAGAAGGATACAGTCATCGGCCTGACCTAAGGAACGATAAATAAGGAACGAAGCCCCTTTCTTCCAAGAAATAACGCATAGGGAACGATGAACAAATAATAAATAACGCATATGGAGCGATAAATAACGCATGCAAGCCTAACGAACGACCGAGCCCCTTTTGAAAAGTAAGTGTTCCTTATTCAAGCCGCTCGCTGTAAGTCGAATGATAATACATCGTGACTATCTGAGATCCAAAGACACATGCGGACACCTAGGACAAATTCGGGTGAGAACACATCGAGCATCTCTGAGATCCGACGGCTCTGGAAGAAGTCTCGGGCGCCGCGGCCTTCTCAAAGCGCTCTGGGACGCTCTGAGAGCGTTCTGGAACGCTCTGGAACGGATTGACCCTCTTCCTGGGCTCTTCCGACTACCCCCCCTCTGCGCGTAGCCGACCGGCCTCTCCTGGGGTGCGTTCTGACCAGGAGTTCGAACTCCAGCCGTGGCGACGATCGGGCGTCGCCCAGACTGGGGGGGGCGGTAGGATGAGGGGGGAGACAGGTGCACCTCTCGGGCCCCACTGGCCCCTTCTTCGGCCTCGCGAGGCAACTTTTCTGTAGCTCTCGCTGCCCCCCTTTGAGCGCCCCCGCCCCATGAAGCGACGCCCACAACGAGGGGCACGTGCCAGCATCGGGAAAGGATTCGCTCCTCCTCCTCCTCCGAGTCCCAGGGGCCTGGGGCGTCCCCTGGGAAGCAGAACAAAAACCGATACCGCCACCCCCCAGACCTCTCTTCCCGGGAGCACGCTGACCAGGATCCCGAGGAGGACCTAGCCATGGCGACGAGGGCCCTCCAGTCGGAACCACGATATGGGCATCGCCTTCTTCCTCTGACTGGCCGCCTCCCGGGAAGGCCTGCTCGTCCCGCGCCGCCAGCTCCCCCTGGATGGTGATATGGGCTGTTTCCTTAGGGTTTCGAGGGGTGCATCCCCGACTGAAAAGCTGAGATGGTGGGGGTCTGGATGGGGATCGGGGATGGGGACACAGGGCCGGCTAACCGATGCCGAGCCACGGTATCGGCACCTCTTCCCCCTCTCTGACCACGGGCTTCTCCCTGGCGGCCAGGGACCACCCTCCCCAGACCCTGGACGCCGTGATGTTTTCATGACGTCGACCCCCAGAAGTCCCACCAGCCCTCTGGGCGTCGGTGGTGGTTTAGGGAGCTTCCTCTTCCACCCCTCCTTCTTCCCCTTCGGGGAGGGGTTGACCCCTCCCCCTACCCCCTCCCCATGGACCTGGACAAAAGGTTTCGCGAGTCGTCGGAGCGTCCAAAACGGCCTCGGCGAGGAAGCCAAAATCATTGGTGGTACTATGGTTATGGCCGAATTTTGGCCTCCTGAGGGGGGGACCCAAATTCATGCTCCCCTCTTGTTTGGTCGATCTCCTCCAAGATTGCCCCAAGAAGCGCCCAGGAGGCCCCAAGAGGTCCCAAGATGGCCCCAAGATGGCCCCAAGAGGCCCCCAAGAGGTCCCCAAGAGGCCCCCAAGAGACCCCCAAGAGGCCCCAAGAGACCCCCCAGAAGCACCCAAGATGCTCCGAGAGGCCTCGGCGAGAATGCCAACACGGCCTCGGCGAGGAAGCCAAAATCATTGGTTTTACTAGGGTTGTGGCCCCATGTTGGCCTCCTGGGGGGCGACGCTAATTCATGCTCCTCTCTTGTTTGATCGATTTCCTCCAAGATGGCCCCAAGAAGCGCCCAGGAGGCCCCAAGAGGTCCCAAGATGGCCCCAAGATGGCCCCAAGAGGCCCCCAAGAGGCCCCCAGGAGGCCCCCAAGAGACCCCCAAGAGGCCCCAAGAGACCCCCCAGAAGCACCCAAGATGCTCCGAGAGGCCTCGGCGAGAATGCCAACACGGCCTCGGCGAGGAAGCCAAAATCATTGGTTTTACTAGGGTTGTGGCCCCATGTTGGCCTCCTGGGGGGGGACGCTAATTCATGCTCCTCTCTTGTTTGATCGATTTCCTCCAAGATGGCCTCAAGAAGCGCCCAGGAGGCCCCAAGAGGTCTGAAGATGGCCCCAAGATGGCCCCAAGAGGCCCCCAAGAGGCCCCCAGGAGGCCCCCAAGAGACCCCCAAGAGGCCCCAAGAGACCCCCCAGAGGCACCCAAGATGCTCCAAGAGGCCTCGGCGAGAATGCCAAATCATTGATTTTACTAAGATTTTAGCCACATGTTGGCCTCTTGTGGGGGGGGGGGCACTGATGAAGATCAAGAGCGCCTGGGAGAGCCCAAAATGACCTCCAAGATGGCTCAAGATATCCCAAGATGTCTCATAATAGCTTCCTCTGTGTGCTGCCCACTTCCCTGATCGAGGCAATTCCTCTGGGCATCGTGTCTGGATGGGCTGGTGGGGATTCGCGCAGCGTCAACTATTAGGACCTTCCTCCGGGACCCGTTTTTCATCCCGAGTCGTTTTTTGACGGTCCCGAGGCCTGGCAAGGGCCCCCGGAGGCCGAAAAGAGTGAAACACCTTCCGTCGCAGTTTTGTTCACGCCTCGAGGGGGCCTGGGTCTGGCGCCAGGGCCTACCCTCGTCCTGGCCCCGTCCAAGCACCTCGGCGTCCAGCAGCTCGGGGGCCTTGCGCACCTCGGAGACGCCGCGCCGGATCTTGGAGAGCACCGCGGGGCACGAGGGCCCGAGGGCCGGATGCGGCCAGAGATGGCCCTGGCCCGAAGCTTCGAGCACGAAGCCGACTGCAGGATGGAGTTGGCCCCAGGGATCGATGTCCTCGCCGAGTCTGTCAAGGACACGTACCGCATGTTCAGAAGATCTGCGCAGCACTCCACGTACGTTTCTCTTGGCGGCGAGCGAGGGGGGGAAATGAGAAGGAGAAGGCCTTCTCAGAGGGCGGCGGGACTTCTCAGAAGTCCTCGCGCCTTCTGGGAAGGTTTCTGTATCTTCGGGGAAGGCTTAGAGACTTTCCAGAAGGCCCGGGGACTTCCGAGACTTCTGAGAAGGCCCGCCACTTCTCACTTCCCCCCCTCGCTCGCCGCCGATTCTCGTTGACTCGACGAGGAAATGGAACTTGGGGATACCCGTCCGTCGTTGCAGATACGTATTTTTGGATTCCCAGATGCCCGTCCGTCGTTGAAGATAGGTATTTCTGGATTCCCAGATCCGAAACTTCCAAGTACGAAATCGACAGCATAATATTTGTTTCCTCGTCGATCGGGAGAAGCGGGCAGAGACATGAAGTAGGAAGGCGTTGGAAAGAGACTGGGTTTCTGCCCGTCCCGTGAAGAGAAAGGGAAAGGGAACAAAAACTCGATGATGAAAGTAGGAATGCGCCGAAAGTAAGCTAGGATCTGGAAATCCAAAAATACCTAACTACTTTCAAAGACCGGCGTGTACCCCCAAGATCTAGCTCCTCGTCGAATACATGAGAAACATACGTGGACTGCTGCGTAGATCTTCTGAACATCCTCCTTACGTACCTTGAACAGACTCGGCAAAACCATCGATCCCTGGGGCCAGCTCCATCCTGCAGACGCTTCCGTGCTCGGAAAGTGCCTCTAGCCTCTCGCGACGCTGCGAAGCCCACGGGGGCCTCTGGGCCTCGCGAGGGGCGCTCCGGAGGTTCACGTGGGCAACGAAAGGACGCGGGCCGCACGCGAGGAGGCATCGCGAGGACGAATGAAGGGGCCCCAGGACACACAAATAAATACACACAAATAAACATATTCCCTATTTTTTTCCATATTTTCTGGGTTTTTGTCGTCCCCCCCACTTCCCATATTTTCCCATATTTTCGGGGGAATCATCGATTAATTGTGTCTGTGTGTTTCTTTCCCTCCTGAACGAACACATGTGGAATGCTGCGTAGATCTTCTGAACACCCTGTACGCATCCTTCACCGACTCGGCGAGCACGTCGATCCTTGGGCCATGGGGTGCCCCTGGCCTCTCGCGACGCTGTGCAACCCCTGGGCCCCTCTGGGCCTCGCACGCGAGGAGGCATCCCGACCCTGCGCCGCGGCTTACTGAAGGGGCCCTGGGACACACAAGTAAATATACACAAATGAAAGGATTCCCCATCTTTTCCCATATTTTCTAGGTTTTTTGTCTTCCCCCCCACTTCCCATATTTTCCCATATTTTCTGGGGAATCGACGATGAATTGTGTCTGTGTGTTTTTGTTCCCCTCCTGACTTACGCGAGCCACCGGCGCGCGGCGCACCGCGTGGCCACGAGGCACTCACGTCCGCCCTCGTGCGGCCTGCGTGCGCGAGCACGTCCGCGCCATCAACTCCGAACCAGCCTCTAACGTATCCCTATCCCTAAGATGGGCGGACAGAAAGCGAGGACAATCTTAGGGATAGGCCCTCGAAAACTGAGGGAATCCTTAAGATCGGCATCGAGGTGAGGTGATGTCAAACATAGGGATAGGGATATGTTCCAGGCTGGTAAACTCCGCTGTCTTCCGCCGCTCACAGGGGCCTCCCTGGAAAAGCCGAGGGGCCTCCTGAGCCCAGTGCGCCCAGTGCGGGCAGTATGAATGCCCATCCCCCCCGCAGTCGCAGACAAGAGTGAGAGGGCGGCGGGGACATTGACAGTCTGCGAGGCTCTGGCGAAGCCCGCCGCAGGCGCCTAATTTCTACAAATAATATGATGAGCCCGCCGCAGGCGCTGATTTTTCGTTAAAGCCATGTGGGTGGGTCGCGGGGTGCGTCGCAAGCCTGGCCGCGGGTGTGTCGCGGGCCGGGTCGCGGCCGGGTCGCGGGTGGGTCGAGGGTGGGTCGGATGTTCGGGAAGGGATGCCCAACCCCCCCGACACAATGGATATGGACGGAATTCGGGACTCGCCATAGAGGCCGGATATGAGCGTATCTGGTTTCGTGCGAAGGGTGACCAAGAGTCAAAGACGCAACGGACATGCATAGAAATGCCCCGCACACCCGGGGGATTTGTTCTGCCAAAGGAGCTGCCTGCCGTGTTCTTTCGTCGCTCTCCCGCTACTCTTGGCGGTGCGCACAAGGGGGTACGGGGAGGTGGTAGGCGTCTGATGAGGCTGCTTCTTAGAAGGCACTGGCCCTACATCTACAGACATAGCCCGCATCTTCGAAGAACAAGGGGTGTTTCTAAAAAGCCTTCCCCCTACCCCTATCCCCTCTGCGCGTGGCCGACAGACCTCTCCTGGGGTGCGTTCTGACCGGGAATTCGAACTCCAGCCGTGGCGACGATCGGGCGTCGCCGAGAATGGGGGGGCGATAGGATGAGGGAGAAGACAGGTACGAGCCTATGGGCATCGCTTCTTCCCCTGACTGGCCGCCTCCCGGGAAGGCCTGCTCGTCCCGCGCCGCCAGCTCCCCCTGGATGGGGATATGGGCTGTTTCCTTTGGGTTTCGAGGGGTGCATCCCCGACGGAAGACCTGAGATGGTGGGGGTCTGGATGGGGATGGGGATGGGGACACAGGGCCGGCCAACCGATGCCGAGCCACGGTATCGGCACCTCTTTCCCCTCTCTGGCCAGAGACCACCCTCTTGGCAGCATCCAGTGAAGGCCTGTTCGTCCCGCGCCGCCAGCTCCCCCGCCTGCCGCAGCGCGTCCGCCAGCTGGGCCATCCGGCGGGGCGGCGCCCCCGAGCTGCCGACGGGCGGCGCAGGGGGAAGGGGGGGGGGGCGGGGCTGACGAGTCCTGGCGGCGGCGCGCAGTCCGCTGGCCCGCTAAGACGAAGCCAGGACGAGGATAAGATCAGGTAGAGATACATTGGCAATCCCTCAAATCCGGCGGCCCTGGGGGATGTCTCGGGCGCCGCGGCCTGCTTTGAAAGTTTTCCGGAACGCCTGGAACGCGCTTATCTAGAGGGCAGAAAATCCACCCCGATAATAACCACCCCGATACGCGAGGCCTTTAGTAAACGCGCCCAAAGAAGGAATGGAACAGGGCAGGGCTGTTTAGTAAACGCTCAGGGCCGTTTAGTAAACGCCGATTGTCGGGTCCGGGTGGTTTTTCCTCCCTTGATTATCCTCGTCCTGTCCCCGTCGGACCTGCGTCCCGCCCTCCCTGGGGGGAAGTGGGCCAGACTGGGCGCGAAAACGTCGTGGCAGTCTTGGTCACCGCCCATTCTGGTCAGCGTGACTTCGTGGATCGTCATTCCGGCATGGGCCTTGACCATGGTCGGCATCTAACAATATCCCGCGACACCTGGGTGATTGTCCATGTGCTTCTGCCCTCGGTTCCCTTTTTCGTCAATGCATATGTACCTCCTCTCCCTCCCGACTCCCACATGCCCCCAACAATATGACACACGCTAACATCACCAACATGGGTCAAAGATCCGTGGGTCTCGCGCAGGGGCGCCCGATCCACGGATCGGGGATGACCCCCCCCTGGAACATGAAACCAATGCCGCCTGGTCTGGCGACGGATCGGGCCGATCCGGTACGGCAGCGGGACGCGTCGCTAACCCACGCGCCGTGGTCCATGCTTGCACTTTCTCGAGGAATGCCCCCGAAGACGCGCGCAAAGAGGCCTCGAGCGAGGCTTCGGATGCCACAAGCAACTAAAAAGTCGGTTGGGCTTTCGATGTCGGTTGCCTCTGGCACTCTTCCGCTGAACATTACCTGCGCGGGGGTTTCAGACAGCCGCCAGCACTAGAGGCAGCAAAAATGGCATACACGCAAATTGTTGAAAGTTCAGGCAAATTTCGTGGATCCGCGCTGGACCCACCTCCATGGCGCGGGGAACGCGCCAGGAGCGGCGCCGAATGCGCCGCCAGGGTGGCCCGGCGCAGATCCAAGGAAGCCGCGCGGAGCTCTGAAAGCTTATGTGTATGCCAGTTCATGTCTTCGAGAGAAAGGAAAAAGGACCTCGGAGTCGTCGTCATCGCCGTTGCCGCCGTCGTCGCTACGGTCATCGCCGTCGCCGCCGCCGACAATCGCTGGATGTGGGGGGGCCAGAACTGCGGGTGGCATGGGTGAAATGTAGAAGGCATGGCGGCAATGGCAAGAGCATAGCGGCGGTTCTTTTCCCTTTTAGTGTACTCGTCCACGTGCACGCTGAAACCAGAATGGCAGCGGACGCGCACGCGTGCTCTTATTCGAGTCGGCGCAGGAGGGCAGTGAAGTACGTCCCGTGAACAGCCACCGGGGCAATCCGCAGTGAAAGTCCAAAGCGTTCACCGAGTGGCCACCGCAGTGGACATCCGAGACAACTCACCCATGGGTCAGGAGCCTCAAACCGAACGGGATGTCGAGAGAACCCTGGGGACAACCTGTCGGCTCGTCCGTGGTCAATTCATACGTGTACTGATCATGACCAGGCTTGTGAATCGTAACGGCATCCCACGGCAGGTGGCGTGCACTGCGAGACCCCTCCGCGCACTGACATTGCGCATGCGTGCTCCCCGCCAGCGACTTCTGACTGATAAGACAGCTGCCACTGATTGGACAACCGTGCGCACATTTCAGTCCGAAGCTGCCGTGGCAGAAGTTGCACAAGTTGCCGTGTGGCCGCGTGCCACGACCGAATGGCACAGCGAAAGGCGTATACGTGATCTTGCGGCCGAGGGCACATCAAACGTATCAACGTGCCTGGAAGTACACATTCCGTGCATTGTGCGTCCGAGCGCCAGGGCGCACAGCGTGCACCAACATGTGGGACAACGGGTCTCGTTGCCAAGTGAATGGCGCAACTCTGCCCCGATTGCCTGTCAATCGTACTCAACGCTGCTACGTCTGAGCGGGCGGTGTGCCTGTAAAAGCTGGCAATTGGTCGTGGCCAGGGCCGCGCGCTGTGTAGCACGTGCGCTGGGCCAGTTCCCTGCTCCTTGGGGGAGAGTTGATGACAAGGTTTCCAGGCAGTTCGCGGCGGCATGACAACAGCAGGTTCCAGCGGCATGGCGACGGCCTCATCCTGGAGGAATATCGGTGTAGACAGTAGTTGACTCGCCGTCGAGGTCCGCTTTAGGGAAAAACCAGAAGACGAAGTACGACAGCTCGGAATTGAGCTGGTTCAAAAAAGAGAAATGGGGCGAATAACCAATATGAACAACAGGTGGGGCATAGCCGTCGTGCTGGCTGCATCTGCACGTCGTGTCTGTAGCGCTTGCCAGATGCGTGTCTGGCCGGCTGCGGTCCACAGTCGGGGAACGAACATTCATCGGCGACATCAGGTTGGTGATAGGCAACGTGCTCCCTACGAGCGCCAGGATGGACATCCTTTTTCGACAACACTCCACCACGATGAGAGCTACAGAAATGCCTTGAAGTTCAGGCCTGCTCAAGGACGAGCGTCATGTTGAATCCGATGGTCACCGTAGTGGTGCTGTGGCCACCGGCTGATGCCAAGGGTGGTTCGACACATACATGAACGTTCAATGCCCCAGTGGAACGGTGCCATGCACTCGCATAGAGGACAGCCGGCACAGTCGCACACATCACGGGGCACGGTACTGGCCCAGGCATGTGGCCCAGGCGTGTGGCCCGCTGTCATGCCCGACGCGGCGACACGGCCATTACCTGTGGGGCGCGATGGGTTGTGGCACGCGTCGTGGCCTTCCCGGGGGCTGGCGTTCCACGTCGCGTAGCCTGCAGCTGTCTTTGCCCTCGCAGCTTGACCCTCACACGTCTCACACGGTGCGGCGCTGACCTCGACGTGGCTCGTGGGCGCCCAGGGCGACTTCCCCGAAGAACACGAGCTTTTCAGGGAATGGAGGGTGGATCCAACTAGGAGATTGGGGAACGTGCGAGTGCGCGCCTACATCGCACTCTGTGCAGTCCTTGAATCGCGAGCTGGAGTCGCTCACAGCTCCGCTACAAGCTAGAACTGCGGGTGGCATGGGTGAAACGTAGCGCGCGTGCACGCTGTAAGCCAGCATGGCAGCGGGCACGCACGCGTGCTCCGATTCGACTTCAGAGACCGTGGAGGAGGAGTGGGCAGAAGGGGGGGGAGGGAGAGGGAGAAGGAGAAGGGAGGAAACCATGAGGAGGGCCACGACTCTCCCAGGACGAGCCAAGAGAGCCCACGAAAACCCAACGACGGCTACAGACCCCAGAGGTCTTCAGAATTGTTCCACGCTGGACCGGCCGAGCCTCTGCGGCTGCGGGAGCGCTCGGCAGGCACCTCGCGCCGAAGGCGGGCCCCGTTCCCCTCCAGGGAGCCCGCAGAGATGGGGATGTGGCCACATCCGCCGCCTGGGGCATCGCTGTCCTGGGACTGCAGCGGGCGACGGCTAGGGACAGAGTTCGGCCCCGAGGCACCCGAATGCATCCATGTCCACCACCTGTCGAGATCCCCTAGGTCCCCCGGTGGTTCTGGATGTCTAGCATCCTCGCCTCGGGCCCGCAAGCTGCCCGTGAGAGAGAGAGAGAGAAAGAGAGAGCCCCGAGAGGCCCCCCCGGAGTCCCCACAGGAAGCCCTCAAACAGCCTCTGAGAATCCCCCGGTAAGCAACGCAGCAGCCGTGCAGCGACACGGCGGCGAAGCGCTGCGGCGTCGTGGCGCTTGCCCCCAAGCAGCCGCAAACCGGTTCCGCCGAGCTTGCACGAGAGAGGTCGGCAGAACGATACGGAATGGCTATCGGTCGATGCGGCGCTGGCACGGCGACGGGCTTGCTGCAGGCAGCCGTGTAAAGAGGAGAGGGAGGAGAATGAGAATGAGGGACGGGAAGGAATTATAACAACAAGAGGGAGGTAAGGTGAGGAGGAGGAGTAGGAAACGGAAGAGGAGGAGGAGGATCAGGAGGAGCAGAAGGATCAGGAGGGGGTAGAGGAGGAGAAGGACGAGCAGGAAGAGGGGGAGGGAAAAGGATATGAGAGGAAACGAGGGCGTTCCTTCGTGCGCGCACGCGCCCACCCCTTCCCTGCGTGCCCTCCTGCTAGTCGTCCTCCTATCGCCTACCTCTGCCCCCCCCCTGCACCAATCTCCCCTGACATCCCCAACATGCTCCCCCCCCCAGACCCCCTGCCCTCTGCGCCCCTCCTCCCCTACTCCCCACTCCCCTGCTGCCCCCCCTTCGTCCTCCTCCTCCTGGGCGTGCGGGCGCACGAGCGGTCTCATCCGCTGGAGCCCGCTCCTCCTCCTGCTCCTGCTCCTGCTCCTGCTCCTCCTCCTCCTCCTCCTCCTACTCCTCCTTCTCCTCCCTCCTCCTACCCCTCCCCCCCTCCTCCTCGCCTCTGCTGCCGATGGCCCCCTCCTTCCGCTCCCAGTCTCCCCCCTCTTCTCCTGCATGCCCTGCTGCTCCCCTCACTCCGCCTCCTCCTCCTCCTCCTCCTCCTCCTCCTCCTCCTCTTCCATCCCTCCTTCCCTCCCTTCCTCCCTCCTCTCCTGCCGCCGCCCCTGATGGCGGCCCCTGCCGCTGCCCCTCCCCGCCTCCTCCTTCCTCCCCCTGGCTCCTCTCGGGGGCCGTGCAGGAAGGAGGGCGTCCAACGGGGGGGACTGGCACATCATGGCCTGAGGCACGTGCGCGGCCCATGGGGAGCCAAGAGACGCCGCGAACTGAGACAGGGGGAGGCCATGAGATCTGGGATATATCATGGCCCCCGCCATGACATCCCCCCCTTGGTCATCGTTCCTCTCCTGACCGCCCCCACATCCTGCCCCCGACTCTTCACCCCTGGGATCCTCGCGGGTCAGCCACTGCACGTTGAGATCGTCCAGCAACGCGCGGATCTCGGCGCGGGGGAGGGGGGGGTAAGCAGAAGGGGCCTCCTTCTCCTCCTGCTCCTGCTACTCCTGCTGTTCCTGCTCCTCCTGCGTCTGCTAATACGCAGCCCCAGCATGCAACCAGCTTTGAGGTGCGTGGTCACCGTGGCTGGGCGCGTCGGCAGGCGTTCTGGGCGTGACGCGACCAGTGGGGCGGGTCCTCCTCCTGAGCTCCCTCCTCCATCCCCTCCCTTACCCGGCACTCCTCCTGGGGCTGCAGAAGCCCCCCCCTGTCATGCTAGGCTTTGATCTTCATCACCATGCTATGCCATGCAATGCTATGCCATGCTGCGACATCCGACTGCGCGAATAAAGAGGCTATCTACGCCATGGTAAGGGATGGGAGGGAGGGCAGGACGTCAGATATGACGCGAGCGCACCTAACTTGTCCTCCCCCCTTCCCCCTTCTCCCTTCCCCGTCGCTCCGTGGCCGGGCCGTTTTGACGTCTCGGCTCAAGCTACAGGCTCGTCTGGCGCCGCTCTCTGGGCAATCTGTGGCCGTGTCCGAGGTCGACTGGGACCACCGAGGGCCACCTGGGAGGCAAGGGTGTACACTCCCGGCGCGTCCAGAAGGCCTCTCGGGATGACCCTCGGGCAAAATCTGGCCTCTTCGGATCGCCTCTTTAGAATATCAAGAAGCGGCATACAAATTAAACTTCGGAGCTCCACGCGGATTTCTTTGGATCCTGCTGACCCCCTCCCTAACGAGAGGAGCGAGCCAGGGGCGGCGCCGGAGGCGCCGCCAGGGGGCCCAGCGCCGACCCAAGAAATCCGCGCAGAGCTCCGAAGTAATGTGTTCGTCAGCAACTCTTGGCGGCGCGAAGCGGCAAAATGTCGGGTCCGATTTGGGGCTCTTCTTGAGGCTCCCTGGGCTTCAACTTTGGACGTCCGAAGTGGGTACGGGAAAAAATGGTGCGATTCCCAACAGCAAGTGCTGCCCCAAACCTGCAGCGGCCGCTGTTGGGGCAGGCGGCCTTCTCTCTCAAGCGGACGAAGTCCGCGGCGACACCGACGCCGACTGCTGTCGGTCTCCGTGCCCATTCTTTCCGTAGGCCGTAGTCATGTCGATCGTACTGATCAAGCCTCTGGTAGAGGCCTCCCAAATGGGGTCCGAGCAGACGGGGTCGGACGGGCTCGCCGCATCACCGATGCATCGCCGATGCGTCGTCGACGTCGGCGAGAAATCGGGCTCCACATCGAGCCGCATCGACGATGCGGCGAGGTCTTCCGACACCATCTGAGCGACGATCAAAAACGGGTCTTACGCAAGATGGCACCGCGACCCTTCGCCGCGGCCTGCGTGGGCCGCCAGCGCGGCGCGCTGCATCTGGTGACGAGGGCGCCGACGCGCGACCTCACGCGGGCAGCTTGCGCGCCAACGTCGGCGAGGACGACCCCGCTTCCTGCGCCGCTCACCTGCCGGGACCCCCTTTTCTGGCCATCGCTCGGACGTCCATTCCCTGTGTGTGTGTGTTTCGGTGTCGTGCGTGTTTTGTTTTTTCGCCGAACGATAAGAAGGATTCTTCTCGATGGTCCTCGCCGAGGGAAAAAAGCACACGTCCGAGCGATGCCAAGGGTCGATGCCTCCCCCCACTGAGCCTCTCCCCCTGAGGGGGGAGGAGGAGGAGGAGGAGGAGGAGGAGGAGGAGGAGGAGGAGGAGGAGGAGGAGGAGGAGGAGGAGGAGGAGGACGCCCGGCGCCCGGGCGGACGCCCGGCGCCTGGGAGCCTCGGCCGAGCTCCGGGGCGGCGGCGGGGCGCGGCCCCTGCCGTGGCGAGCGCCGCGGGCAGCGGCCAAGGCCGCGCGGCGTCCGCCGAGGCGAGGAGCCCCCGCCGCGTGCGGGGCCACGCCGCGCCGCAGCCGGGCGGCAGCGGCGCGAGCGCGCGCTCGCGGCGGAGAGACGCCCGACGGCCTCTCGTCGAGAGGCTCGTCGGCGGAGCTGGCTGGCCGCAGCCGAGGCGAGGTTCTGGCAGCACCCGGCCGCGACCGGGGGGAGGACCTCGACGGACTTCTCCGCCGCGCCCCGACGAGGCCCGGCGAGGGCGACGTGGCACCCCAAAAAGCCCCAACGGAGCAGATCGCAAACCACACCCTGGCTGGCCTCCCAGATGGGGTCCAATTGGATGTCCCTCCTCCTGCTCCTCATTCTTCTCCTTCTCGTCGTCGTCCTTCTTGGGGTCGGAGGATCGCGCCACATCGCCGATGCATCGGCCACGACGGCGTTGCATCGGCGACGCTGGCGTGGAGAACATTGGGCTCCACATCGAGCCGCATCGCCGAGGCACCGGGGATGTTGCGGTCAAGATTTGTATCCACATCCACTGCATCCTAGATTTTCTGGGAAGGGGCGCCAGAAGGCCGAGGCGCAGTGGAGATGGACAAACATCGGGCCCGCGGGGGCCAGATTCTGATCCATACCCACCGCGACCCTGGCTTCTGGAGAAGGGAGCCCGAGACTGCAAGACGCAGGGGGCATGGATGCAAGTTTTGTGCCCGCAGATGCGGCGCGATCCTCCAGCCCCATCCAGGAGGCCGGCCCACGGCAGGCTCGTGCTGTGCCGACTTCTGCGCTGGCCTCTGCAGCCGCGGGGATCGTTCCGCCTGGAACGATCGGCCGTTTCCGAAACGTCAGATCCACTCGCCCAGGGCTGCTTCGCGGCAGGTGGCTTTTCTTCCGCTTCCTCCCTCCGTTGGTCGGTTGGTTGGCTTGGCGCTGGTGGCGTGCGCAGTGGCTCAGCATCGACCACTTCTGGGTCGCCGGGCGGGGCCGCCGCCGGCCGACACGGCGCGAACCTGCCGCAGCGGAGCGCGGCTGGCGGCGCGGGGCGCCCGCGCTTCGAAGACGAAACAGCGGCTTAGACAAACTTTTTGGCGCTCCGCGCGGATTTCTTGGCGGCGTGGAGCGCCCGCGCTTCGAAGACGAAACAACGGCTCAAGCAAACTTCTGGCGCTCTTCTTGGACCTGCGCGCCCGCGCCCCATCCCACGCGTTTCCACATTTCCTGGACGTTCGCCTTCCCACCCACTGCCCATATTTTCCCATGTCTTCCTGGGAATCGGCGATTCTCGTTGTGTCCGCGAATGCTGCCCCCCCCCCCCCCCCCTGAAAAAAGGTACCGATACCACTGCTCCCCGGACCGTTCCCGTAGGATGCGCTCTGACCAGGATGTGGAGGCGAGCCCAGCGGTGACGACGAGGACCTCACAGGAGAGGCCCCAAAAGGGCGGGACTCAGGCAGAGCCAGCGATATCGGTGCCTTCCTTCGGTGGCAACTCATGGGAGCCTCCCGCACCGTCTTGTTGGCCATTGCGAATCGACGCTGGTCGACGCTAAATCGACGCCAGTCGACGCTAAATTGACGCTCATCCACGCTGAAGACGGAATTGGAAGGGCATGCCGAGCTCCCATGATCTGCTCTTCCAGAGTAGCAGTGCCGCTACCCCTTCTGACCACTGCTGCGGCGGAGGCCGCAGCCCGTCACAGCCTGGCGACGGTGCCGCGCGCGCAGGCCACTAAAACAGGGCTAGGATCGGGATAAATCGCTCCAGAGCGTCCCGGAGCGCTCTCAGAGCGTTCCGGAACGCTCTGGAGCGGCCGCGGCGCCCAGTACATCCTCCAAACCCGCGGATTCTCAGAGATTTCGAGTTAGCCCGATCCGATTTTGTCCCGATCTTCGCGTTGTTTTTAGCCACCCCGCCCGCGGCCGCGGAGCGGCACGGCCCGAGCCGGGGCTGCCCCGAGGCGGCGCCGACCCCGAGGCGGCGCCGACGCGCGCGGCGCTCGCGCGCGCGGCCGGCGTGCGGCGTGCGCGCGCCCCGGCGCCTCTCTCTCGCGGTCGCGGGGGGCGGCGCGGCACGGCGCCGCCGGGCGCGCCGCCTCGGCGCCGTGTCGCCGCGGTGGCGGTCGCGGGCGCTCCCGCGCGGCCCTCGCCCCGCTCCGCGGGCGCCCGCGGAGCGCGGGCGCGAGCACGGCCACCTGCCAGGCGGCCGTGCTCGCGTCGGGTCGTCGTCGTCGCCGGGTAGTCGTCGCCGGGTAGTCGTCGCCGTCGTCGTCGTCGTCGTCGTCGTCGTCGTCGTCGTCGTCGTCGTCGTCGTCGCGCTCTCCGCGGCGGTCACGGAGCGCCCCGTGAGCGGGGGCGGTCGGCCCGCACGCCGTGGTGCTCCACGCGGCGCTCGCGGGGAGCCCCGTGAGCGGGGGGGTGGGTCGGCCCGAAGTCCCCCCCTGGCCGCGCTGACGCCCGAGTGCCTCGAGTGGTCCTCCCCATCCGACTCCCCTCTCCCTCCTCTGGCTCCTCCTCCCCTTGCCCCTCCCCCTTCCCGCCCCCCCCTCCTGCCCTCTTCCTCGTTCTCCTTCACCCTCCGGCTCCCTCGTCCTCGGTGGGCCGCTGGGGGTGGCGACTGAACACGCCATATATGCGGGAAAACATGCGGCTTAGAGCTTGCCACACCCCCGTCCGATTCAAGGCACACGCTCGTGTGGGCATGCGCGCGCAGCGCAGCAGCGGTATCCAAATGCTGCCAGAGTTGTTGCCCGAGATGTGTCTGCACACTCCGCCTGGACAGCAAGCTGAAGACTATACCGGGCATTTTGCCCGAGGCTTGTATCCGAGTACCTCCGAGTGACTGTGGGAGACATGATGCTTTGCTCAGATTGCCAGGCGTAAAGTGTGCAGTGTGATGCATCCTCGACCCATCACATACCTACTGTAATCCCCATGGCTGGGTGTGAGCTGACTAGGGGGGGAACTTGATTCGCACTTCTGCCAACACCAGGACTCCAATAGCTCGTAACGCTCAACTTTTACGTTTGCTGCTCTGATTGGAACTTTGTCCATCTGCTAATCCGCCGCCGCCGCCTGCTCCTTCTGTCTTCCCCAGTGGATGCGCCAGCCGCCTGCCCTGTGCGGACGCTCTAGCTGAGCGGGCGTAGATAGGATTCTCCTGTAGCGCATGCAAATTGACAAAAGGGTGGACCAAAATCAGCCCCGCAGGAAAGAAACTTGATGGAGAGACACATAAATATGAAGAAGGGAACAAAAGGGGTGCGCGGTGATGTGGACGGAAAACCACACGAACAATACGTCGCAATCCCGAAGGTATTCCAAGAATCCCCCACCGCGATTTCACACATGGGCCGGGGAGCTCTCGACATCGTCTCTGCGACCGGCCTGTCGACAATTCCGCTTGGTGGGTCTCGGGGCCCAGGAGAGGCTCCAGGACGCGAACAGAGGCGCCCGAAGCCTGTTCAGCTTCGCGCCGCCCTGGCGTCTGGGACACAACCGCCCCCCCCCAAGCCCAAGCAGCCGCGTCAGCAGGGACGAGCGCCAGGGCCTCGCCTCGCTGTGGTCCAGCGTGCCGTCCGGATCGGAGTCGTACTTCACGAAGCGGCACCGCAGCTCCGACAGCTCCTGCTCCGAGAAGCCGGCGTGACTGCCCCCCCGCGCGGGCGAAGGGCGGCCCGAGGGTCGGTCCACGGCGGTCGAGGGCGCCGAGGGATCTGAGGGGTTTCGGGAGACAAGGGTGGGGAAATCTATCGAGAAGGTGGAAACGTCGTCGTCGTCGTCTGAGGGTGGTGGACAGGACGGGACGGGCCTCGACAAGCGCAAGCACCGCCCCACGTGCACGCGCATAAAGGGAGGCGTGCGAGGAGCGCCTCCTGCGGAGGACGGCGGCGGTGAACCTTGTCGGGCCACCGCCGTCACAAACCGTGGGGACGTCGGCCCGCAAGTTCTGTGGTGAGGTCTGGATCTCAGCAGCAAGCATTGTATCTCCATCTGGCCGAGGGGGCCGAAACAATGTGAGACGAGTGCCTATCAGACAACCTCTACGACCAAGAATAATACATGTTCGAGCGGCCCAAGATCGCCAGAATCGCGTCTCTCGGCATAACGCGAATGATAGTAGGCGGTTAACATTGAAACGCAGGCTGGGGGTCAACATACCGGGGGGAAATCATAATCCCACCAGCACTCTAGGTGTAGGTGGTTTAGAACGTTTTCTCTTCCACCCCTCCCTCTTCCCCTTCGGGGAGCGGTTTATCACTGTTCCCTATTAATGTACACCCCCTCCCCCAGGCGACTGGGAGCCAACCCGAGCCAATGAGGGCCCCCCCCGACCATCCCTTGTACAAACACCATACAAAACACACTCTGCCTCCAAATTCGGAGCATGCGCAGCGAACCCGAATCGGCCTCCCCCTACCATCCCTGTCAACAAAAACAATGCTGAATACACTTGGCGGCCGCGGCGGCTGCGGCGGCTGCGGCGGGGGCTGCGGCTGCGGCGGCTGCGGCGGAGGCGGCGGCGGTGGCGGCGGCGGCGGCGGGGGCGGCGGCGGCGGCGGCAGCGGTGGCGGCAGCGGCTGCGGCGGCAGCGGCTGCGGCGACTCGGCGATCGGCGGGGCGGCGGGGCGGCGGCGGGCGGCGCCGTGGCGGCGGCGCGGCGGCGGCGGACAGCGGCGGCGGCGGCGCCGGCGCGGCGGGCGGCGGGCGGCGGGCGGGGGCGGGGGCGGCGGCGGCGGCTTCGCCCAGTAGCTGCCCATCCAAAGACGACTGTTGAATATGCTGCGGCTCGGGTGCTGCGTACGTGTCGGGAGGGCGGGTGGGAGTGCGCGAGACGGCTTGCGGGCGGGGAGGGAGTCTTGACCCCCCCCCATTACCCTCTCCCCTGGACCTGGACGGCCGGTGCTGCGACCCATTGGAGCGTCCAAGACAGCCCAAGATGGCTCCAGGATGGCCTCGGAGAGCCCAAGATCACCTCTAAGACGGCTCAAGATAGCCCACGATGGCTCAAGATGGTTCCCAAGATGCTCCAAGAGGCCCCAAGGCCGCTGGGTCCCCAAGGTTCCCAAGACCGCCCCAAGAGGGCCCCAAGAGGAGACGCCCAGGAGGCCCCAAGAGGCGTCCAAGGGGCCTCCAAGAAGCTCCCACGAGACCCCCACGAGGCTCCCTGAATCGCCCGGAACGCCCCCCTGGACCGCCAAGAGGCCCCCAAGACACCCCAACAGGCCTTCAAGTTCGCCATGACCTTCCTCAGGCCAGAGGCGCTCGTCGTCGCTCGAAGAATCCCTCCTCCTCATCATCATCACCACCATCATCTGGGCACTTCACATCATCATCACCATCCTCCGCCCTCCCTCATCTATCCTCCTCCCATCCTTCCTCCTCCTGCGAACGATAACGGTTGCCCCCCTCTTTACTCCTACATTTCCCTGATCACCTCTACTCGCCTGAGCATCGTTTCTACTCGCCCTGGCGTCGTTTTCTGGGTAGGCTGGCGGGGATACGCGAAGCGTCAAGAATACGGCAATCTACCGCTGGGAGCGCTACCCCCCCCAGCCCTGGGAGAAGAAGGGGGGATTCCCTTGATCATTCCGGGGCTGGCATTCGAGCGACGCTGTCTATAGCTACATGTCCACTTCCTCTGGTCAGGACCATCCAGGGTCCGCAAACGGTGCATACGCATTCCTGGCTTGGCCAGGGAAGCATAATCATGCAGCTTTCCCAGGCCCTGGCCTGACCAACCCAGAAGCACTGGGTATATTCAATCCTCGTCGCCCGACGAAAACGGATCCGATCCTCGCCGTTCCACTTCGCAAAGTCCGCGTCGATCTGACCGATCCGACGCGGTATCGATTCTGGCCAGTTGGATCCGATTCTGATATTCCCCACCCGCCTGGTCCTCCCCTCCTCACTCCTCCTCCTTGCCCCTTTTCCCTCTTTTCCTCCCCCTCCTCCCTCCTGAAGTTCCTCCAAGCGGCGGAAACGTATGCCAGCATATGCAAGATGGCGCTGAGAGATAAAAAAAACCCGCCCAGAAGACAGGATGGTGATGGGAAGGAAAAGGTCATGGTCATCCGAGTAAGGGGGTCGACGTCAACACCCACGAAGGAGTTGCGCATGCAACTAGCAAGACCCCCTGGGATCAGATGGTGCCGCAGTCCCAGACTTCTTCTCATGGGGCAGGCAGGGGGCAGACCCCTGAGCTCAAGGGGGGGAGCTCTGAGGTGGCCCCGTAAGAGAGGCTCGCTGAATCAGACGTGTCTCTACGGGTCAGTGCAACGGGAACATCAGCTACCCTTTTTCGCGCGCCCCCTCTGGGGGACGCGCTGGCGAACGCGGTTCCCGAGTACGGGGTGTCCATGGACCCCTCTTTAACTTGCGAGACAGAACCCCGGACTTCGAAACGCCCCCCCCCGCCCCCCCCCCTCCCATCTCCACAGAAGCTCCAGCACTGCGAGATGTCCTCGCTCGTGCACTCCACTCACCACGCTGCGACAAATGCGTCCCGCGCCAACCGCGCTCATATTCCGCTTCCCGCGCCAAGCGCGCTCAATAATGCTTTCCTTCCGCGCTTTCCGCTCTCTGCAAGGTCACGCATATCCGAGAAAATCTGGGGGCGCACGCGGCGCGCGCAGAATATTGAACGAGGGCGAGACGTTCCCATTCTGAAGGAACGCAATCTTCACGGGGTAATTAGCAGTTGCGCATTTGTCTCCCGCACTGGCAATAACTCCACCAACGCTTTCCCGCCCCGAAGAAAAGCGAATTCCACTTCTGCCAAAGAGCGCACTGTTCCGCTGGAAACCAATTGGCGCCGCAATTCATCCGCAGAAAAACAATGGCCAACGTTGTTTCAAATAGTGTCAAAGATGCCGCCTGCAATTCGTCCGTTGCGCTTCCTTGTCCTCTTTACTCTGACGAACGAACCCTTCAACAAGTGTGTCTTCGACCGCTAAAGAGGTCCGAGGGAGCTCCAGTCGGGTAAGTGTGACGGTCCCTTTGCCTTATATTCCTACTCTTTCTCCACCTCCTCCGAACCTGCGCAGTCCCTCTGCGAAGCAAAAAAAAAAACCCAATACGAAAGCAAACCCTTCAAAAGAACCCCCCCCCCCCCTTTCCGCGCAGCGTTTGCCAAACGCTCTTCGCGATTCATTCGTTGGGCGCTGTGTGACTGAAGCACCCGAGACGAGTTGCGATCTCAGGGTCATCATTGACGAGCATGGGTTGTCGAAGTTCGTCATCGGGACCAGTCGGTGGCCTCTGGGCCTCGGGGCCTCCACATTCCCAGACCTTCTCTATCCGGCGGCGAACAAACGCGTCGATCTCCCGGGTCAGCCTTTCAAGCAATTTGTTTGGCCTCCATCTTTCCAGATCTCCTTCTCGTCCGTTTCCCCTCGGGAGTCATGGTTTTCGAAGTCCATCATCGGCGAATGCCAATGACCTCCGAACGTCGGGGCCTTCAGATTCCCTCTGTGTCGCCTGCTTTCGTCTGCGTCGCGGCGGCCTATGACTGTTGTCCTCCGACAAAGCATTCATGGGTTTCCGAGATTCATCACTGGTGAAAGCCAATGGCCTCCGAACCTTGGGGCATCCATCTTCCGTCTCGTCGTTTAACTTATCTCGCCGACGGGCAAACGAATGCAGAGCTGGGCCAATGGGGGTCCATTGCCGCGATCGATATTCTATGTCTACGGCCATATTGCCAAAACTTAGCCCTCTGTTTCTTCGCCTCCTCATTTGCTACAGGGCCAAGCTCCTGGCGCAGCTGTTCCCAAAACTCAGAATCGTTTATGGGTTTCCGAAGTTTTTCACTGCCACCTTCTGGGTGCCTCCGAACCTCGGGGCCTCCAGATTCCCTCTGGCACCTGCTGCCTAGTGAAGGAGAGCACATGATAAACCAATTGTTCGCAGATTGCAATCCTAGCAATCTGGCATTTCCGAGCACGGGTACGGCAAATTCGTTCTGTGCGTTTTTGGCTTGTCGTTTTTTTTGTCTTTCCAGAAACGCACTCCAATCCCCCATAAGCACGGGGACTTGCGGCGCGAGAAACTTCCGTCACCGGCCGCCCCTGTTGCGCGAGAAGGTGTCGCAGAAAATACGGTTTCGGAATGGCTGCAGAGACTGATCCTTCTCTCCGATCCTCCTTCCCCCCTACTCCCTCTCGCCCGCCGGACAGGGATTGGAGAATGCATGGGGCGGAAGTCGTGTGAATTCCACTGAAAATCCTCACTCCGTCGGAGTTCAAATCCGCCGACCCTGTCGGCGTGTGCGAGGGGCTTGGCTGTTCGAGTCGTCGTCTCCGTCGGTCGTCGCCTCCGTCGCCCCCTTCCCCTGCAGCTTCCTTCTCCAGCTCGTGGGCGAAAAGAAAAATCTAGCAGTGTCGCAATCGAGTCGAAGGGGGGCCCCTTCCCTTCGATCCCTTCCCCAGGGGGGGGGGGTCCCGGGGGGGCCCCCGGCGGGGGCGGGGGGAGATTCGGTCTCTTTACAACCAGAACAACCACTTTACAACCAGATGGGTTACTTTGCAACCAACATAGGATTGGAAAGTATGGTTTCATCGAGAACGCCCACTTTGCAACCAGAACGGCCCACTTTACAACCACAACGGACCACTTTACAACCACCTCAGAGTGGCCGTGCTTGTTTGG